TAATCGCGTGGACAGGGAGGCGCATGCTTGGTGGAGAGGGGAATGTACAATGGTAGAAGCACTAAGGAAAGCTAGGAGTTGGCACTATTCAGGTCCAGCAATTTGGTTCGTTAGATAGGGAGGAGATAAGTTCGTCCAGAATGACGAAGAAAAATAGTGAGTAAGTCAATGGAGAACACAAGAGCAAGGAAATCCTGAGCCTTAGGTGGTGCTGATTGGCAGAGATGGCCATGTCAGAAAAGCTGGGGAGGTCAATCCGGCCAGCGACCCGACAGCAATCTTGATGGGAAGAGATTTGCAACTGGAAGACTAGTTAGTGGTGAGTGGATACTGGAGACAGAGAGAAGAGCTGGGAAAGAAGAAAGTCAAGAGACTCAGGCAGGCAGGCAGCAGTCCGACCGGGAAATTTGCTCGATTGGGATGAGATCTGGTATACACCTTCCCCAATAAAGACTAGCGCACGCCACTAGCGTTTGTTAGTGTAGAATTTCGACCAATTATATTTCACTAGACTCGTCAACCAATTTTTTTATTTGTTTATCCGCCAGAGGAGACTATTCCTCTTTGGGCTGTGCCTCAATAGGCATCTGCATTTACTGAGAGACTGTCCTATCGACGAATTATTATTTCATTTCAACCCACTACTAACTAACATTTGTATGTGATCAAAAGGAGGAGCAAATTAGGAGGGGCTCGTACCCCTGGTTTTGCACCCTTGATCCTCAGGGTTTCTTCAAAGGGTATCGTACTATCTAACTAATGATAATAAAAGATGCCATTCGCCATCGTACCTGGCAGTTCATCCCGATATTACCTAGTGGTGGTTGTACTTCCTTTCACATTTCCGCACGAAGGATGTCAGTGCAGCGTCAAGGAGTGGGCTCATCATCTGCAAACTGTGGAGCCCCTTGATGCTTTGAGCCATCTGGTGTTCAAGAATAGTGTGATCGACACAATCAACTTGCGACGCCCGTCACCACCGCAGGTATACCAGCGTACATTAATAGCACTGAATAGCACCTGAATAGTACAGAGTACATGTTGCTTGATGTTGTGTTACGCGTTGGGACTCGCAATCCTGGCGATCCTTTCAGTTTCTCTACGAGTGTTATTAGGCGGAGTGCACCTAATAGATAGTTTCCCCAGCCTGAAATTTAACCCACGCTCAATGAGCTGATGCGGCGCAGAAGTTTGAACTAGTATATCGATCAAGGATCGTGCCTCGCTGTTGCAGATGTCCAGGGTGGCCCGACGTCCAATGGCAGAGAAACTTTTACGGCAAGCAAAGGGTAGCATCTCTGGCATGTGTCTCGGACGTACCAGAGTTGCCAGAATCTAGCTCAAGTTCTAGAATGGCAGTTAAGCCCGACGGCCACCCTTCTATATTGCTTCTGCCCCATTACAACGGCCGTTCAGCCACTCCCATGTCAGCCTCCCGCCCGACAAGCTTTTTGGTCGGATGCTAAGCTTTATTCTGGTGCCTAATCTTATCCGTGGACCATGCTTCAGTCCAAACCATGCCACGCAACTCTAAGCAGTGCAATGATGACAGCTCAGAATCAATCATTGTTGTTCGATCACGGAACATTTCCTCTGTTCTGCCTTTCAGTTCCAGCTGGATCTGATCTCCGCAGAAGAATTCTCTAAACACCCCGAGAGAACTGTTGATATCTACACAAGAATTACCAGAACCAGATCTCGGAATTATGTCCGCAACACCACACCACTTCAATCAAGCTGAAACATATATATTAACCGGAGTCAAGCGAAAATGCATGCTGGTGAACATGCAAACATTTATGCGGGCCCATGCAAGCATCTGCAGAGGCTGACATGTGTCCTCTCTCTACCTCCAATATCTAAGTCCAAGAGCGATAGTGCTGGACATAAGAAGTATTCCCCAAGTCAGTCAGGCATACGGTTGCCAAAGACTCCAGATGATGGGTAATTGAGCGGCGCACCCACACTAGAGCAACTATACAGTGTCAGTACTGTGTGGCTGTGGTGGCGGGAGTTTGACCACGACATAGACTGTTTGTTCAACCCCCGTCTGCATAGTGCATATTACTGACTCCTAATGGCAGGTCAATCAAGTATGGCATGTGCTGTCCGACCAAAATTCGGTTTTACTGCAGCGACATTTTGGACTGTAGATCAGCCACAACCGTCTCCCGTCGAGGATCGACCTAGTCTTTATTTGCACAGACGACTCGCGACTTTATCGATGCTCTCAGTCCAGAAGTTTCACATTCTACGGCATTCCAGCTGGCAAATGTTGACTGTCATGCTTGCAATGTGCTCTAGAAGCTAGGTGGATAAAAGAACTGGCAACGCTGATGGTATTGCCTTTGTGAATGCCCGTGAAGAGAGATTTTCCGCTCGAGTGAGACATCGCCACCTCAACTCCACGTCGATCTTCTTCTCGTGCGACTGAAGACTGCGCATTAGTGTCAATCGAGTCAGTTAACCTTTCGGCTTTGAAGGGAGATGCGGGAAAGATAAGCGTTGGAGAGGCTGACCGTTTGTAGCGGTTTTGCCAAAAAAGGAAATGCCCCCCCTGCCGGATGTTTACTGGCCAATAAGAAGTCTTTTGGGCGATCAATTACCCGGATAGGGCTTGTTGACCCCTGGGACTAAGCCATATGTGGCTAAGCCATGTCTCAGAGTCCTTCAAGATGTCCTCACCGCTTTCCCTTTCAGCTTGTATCGGGGCTGCCAAAATCCCACGGGGATTGCCTCAATGGGGAGTCATCGTCGCCCAGATGGAGTATCACGCAGATCTTGATCAGATCTTCTCCCTGGCATGGAGAGAGAAATCTCCATCGCCTCCTACAAAGACCTGATGTGTCTTACAGCTCCCCCAACCGGCCAGCAGTTATCATGAAGGCCCTCAAGGATGAGTACGATTTGGGGTACCGCAATCTCGAGGACCCAAAGGAACCCTCGACCCGCCCGTTATCGACCTCCAGACCATTGCTTCTGCAGAGTCAGACCTCGAAATTTTGGTTGTCAGGCTGGACCTGGGAGATCGTGAGCTGTGTCATTGCCGTAGCGGCTCTGGTCACCATCATTATCGTCCTCTACAACTATGATAACCGGCCTATGCCGGACTGGCCATATGGCATCACTCTCAATGCCGTGGTTTCCGTGCTGGTGACCCTAATGAAAGCGGCCATGATCTTCCCAATCACCGAGGGACTGTCGCAGTTGAAATGGTCCTGGTTCAACCAGCGAAACCAACTGAGCGACCTGTCACTACTGGACGCGGCCAGTCGCGGAGCTTTCAGCGCCACCTTTGTTCTGTTCCGCTTTCTACCTCGGCATGAGTGTCTCACCAATATTAACTTTGCCCGACATATAGTCCTAACAGATAATTAGTCACTTGGTATCCATCGGATGCTTCATAATGGTGGTTGCTGCGGCCATTGCGCCGTTCGTACAGCAAGTCATCAACATCACGTCGCAGCCCGTCCACTCGTTCGATCATTCCGCCATCCAAGTCTGCAATACAAGCAGCTACATCGACTATGGCGAAGGCGCCGGGCCGGGTTTGAACAAGGTTCCTCTATCCACAACCGGGGCCATCTACACTGGTATTTTTCAGAGTGAAGGCCCAGACAGCAACACGGTTACCATGACATGTCCCACGGGGAACTGTACTTTCACCCCTTATCAATCTCTAGGGTTTTGCAGTCGCTGCGCCAACATCACTGACAGCCTCACCCTGCACAAAACATCGGTTGTCAGTACCATGGCCAATTATAACTACACCCTCCCCAATGGATTCAGCTTCGAGACTTCCTGGAGCATGATGTATCTGATGAACGCTACCAACGGCCTAAACCTCGTCAAACTCGACACCGGAAATCTACCGGTGATGCTGAACTTCACCGCCATCAGCGCCGCCGGCTACGGTGTGCCACCACAGATCAGTGCCACCGAGTGCGCCCTCTATTTCTGCGTCAAGACCTACGAAGCCTCGGTCCAAAACGGCCGCTACAATGAAACCCTGGTATCTACAGCCTCATCCTCGAACTACTCCGCCACATCGGCGACCAGCGACATCTTGCTCACACCTGAAACATGCTATGTGAACGGCACCCAACAACCCGACCGCACAGACTGCACCTACAACGTTAGCTGGCTCAGCCGACTAGCCATGTACAATTCCCTAACGCCCCTGCTAAAAGGCAAGGGCTCACTCTTCGTCAGCAACCGACCAAACTGGTCATCCGACACTATGCGTGCTGTATACGGCGTAGAGGGCAATTACACGGACATCAATTCGATGTTCCAATCACTCGCGGGCGCATTGACGACCCATGCGCGCAACGCCGTGTGCAAGGGGTCAGTAAACGGTACGACCTGGACCGTCGAGTCATTCGTGCACGTCAAGTGGCTGTGGATGATTCTCCCGATTGCACTGATGGTCTTGACCCTCATCTTCCTCATCACGACGGTAGTCCGGACGCGGAACCATTTCATCTGGAAGTCGTCGCCGCTGGCGTTGTTGTTCTCGGATGTAGCTGTTGAGGCTCCGCACGCGTTCGAGCGCAGTCCGGATTTGACCCAGATGGAGGCGGCATCGCGCAAGATGAAGGTGTGGTTGGAGACGACGACAGGAGGGGCGAAGTTGAAGGCAGTCGTGGGGTGATGCTACTACCACTTTTATGATGAGATATTCTATACCCTGTATACTAGTCATAATGTGTATAATATGTAATATAGTCTATGAGCAGAAGAGCAATTATGGTTATGAAGATGATACCTAAAGAGAAGTTCATGAGACATAATGTTATGTGAAATAGTAATGAAGTAACATCCATATTCTGTAGGCTCCCCATTGATCCGGTATGCTTGGCAAACTGGAGAATCTCCCCCCTTTTTGTGGTCCATATCCCGATGCTCCATTATTGATCCTCAACAATCTACTCTACGACTTCACAGCAAAGGAAAGAAACTTCAATGATGAGGAAATTTTCATTATACACTAACTATATTCATATGTTCCATCCCCGATATACCCACTCAACATTTACAAAACAAAGTGTGTGTGCCATGGTATCAACTCATTTAGCACTCCTTGGTAGTGCACTCCTGAACCTTGAGGTTGGCAGCCTTGTACTCCGAGTTGTGAGCACCGTACCAGTAGACCTCCTTGGCAGGGACATCGCCGTATCCGTCAACAGCGAACCAGGCCCTACCGCCCTGAGTCAGGTAACCCTGCTCGTTGACGCCGAAGCCAGTGGTGTTGGCGTTGTCGGGAACAGCGCCGGAGTGAGGCTGGGTGAAGGAGATGGGCGAGACGCTGTTCTCGATGATGTACAGGTTTTGCCAGGCAGTGGGGACGGCGCCCTTGGCGAGGTAGGTCAGACCACCGTTGCCACCGCCGGAGACTGGTTATTTCATTTGTTAGTGAGATATGAGGTGGTTAAGGAAGGGGGGTTGGCTTACGGATCAGCTTGGAGGTGCTCTTGGAGGTGTCGTTGCCGATGTAGACGTACTCTGTTATCTTGTTAGTATAACGGTAGATGGGGGTTTAGATAGGAAGGAAAGCATACGGCCATCAGTGAGGACGGGGGTGTTGTCGTCGGCGATGAGGGAGAAGCGAGCGGGGAGAGAACCAGCAGAGACGGCGCTGGCAAGGCCGGCAAGAGCAACGATGGAGAACTTCATTTTGAGTTGGAGAGTGGGATTGAATGTGATGATCACAGAAGATGATTGCTTTTATGGTTTGTGAGTCTGAGTGTGATTGATGGCAAATTGGGAGGTGTTCAGCAGCGTTTATATACCTTCTAGGGAGAGCAGGTCAGGTCCACCTCAGGGACAAGTGAAGTCATCTGCAGACGCAAAGATGAGACTGGTGGGTTCCCGATGGAGATTGATGTCGTTCTGGGCTATCGATCGTCGGCACTATGTGAGACATGTCTTGGAGTCCCGCGTGTTGTGCCGGATTCCCCGGGTTTACTCTTATGCAGCTGCGGAGGGGTAGGCATTAACCATGATATAGCCGGCTGGTAACGGCAGTAAAGAATCAAGAGAAAGTAAAATTTGATTATGTTACTGCATCTGCAATTCATACAGTACCGTGGAATCCTTTGTCAGGAGGTCAACGGGTCTACCGGCTTTTATTTCTGGCCTTGGCCGTTGATCGTCCCGATGTTTCAGATGATCTCCCCCCATGTTTGCCTCTTCCAGTCAATAACCTCAATCAAATCCTCGAGATGGACGATGATCAGAAGCCAACGTAGGTAAGGCTGAACACCGCCACAGTGCTCCAATTGTTCCTGAAATACTCCGTATGAAATCATCATGAGCCACACACAGCTTTGTGGTTGACGGCAGGGGAGGGTTCCACTATGCCAAGGTCATCTTGCCATACTGAAACAGTGACGCTATTGACGTTTGGTCACTTTTGGCCAATCGATCAGCTTCCCCTATTGTTAACATCACCGTACAGAGTAATATCTCCGTGGTGGGGTGGGGTGTCGATCGATGACAGCGACCTGTCTTGCTTGCTGAGACAAGCGGCTGAAAGAGACGAGGCTGTGTTTATATTATATCGAAGTCGACTATACTCAGCTTATGCACAATAAATCCTATACATGCACAATATAATACTTCCTCTATTTCATTAGGGAATGGGGCGAAGGGAGGGGATCAAGCCCAGTCGATGTGGCAGTTCCAGTTGCTTCCGATATTTATAGTCGAGTTCAGCGAGGGTTGTATTCGAAAGACTGTAGTAATTGTCTTACCATAAATCAACTATACCAGGAATTGGCTCAGTGTGCAGCAAGCTAAGAATGCCGGTCGGATTGCTTCCGAGACAACCACCAAATTGTCTCCAACACGCTGCGATGATCCCCCTGATGTCCGGGATGCGATGATCAAGAAACGAGGCTGGACTTGCTTGGCCTGGCGAGCTGAGCGAGTTCAGCTTCCAATGGGAAGTGAGACACATTTCCGGAATACAGAGATGCGATTTATCATTATGCGAACAATTATTCGAGCATGACTGGCTGGACAGACATTCAGGGCATGCACATGCACTTTTCAAGATGAAATTAGCCGGGCTGAGATGCGAACAGCATGAAGAAAGAAAAGACTCTATAAGCGACCGTGGGAGGTGGTCCCCATTGATACGGAGCCCGGGGAGGCGAGATCTAGTTGGAAGACGACCATAGGCAGTTCCCACGGTGAACTGTAGCCGGAGACTTGATAACCTATGCAGTGCTGAGAAAGAAAGATGTTTTGAACGCCCATACCCCTGTTTCTACCCGGTATGTGGCCTCGGTTATTGCAATCGTATCAAGTTGTGTGCAGACACTTACCTAGGGTCGATCAGACCGAGACAGTCACAGTAGCTGACCTGACACCAAGAACAAACGAGATCACCGATAGATGCAACGTCCACGCTATTATTCCAATGGCACCACAGGGCGGAAATAATCGCTTCATTTGTTCGCCCGGCCATCTCGCTTCAAGCAAAGCGAGCCAACTCCTCGGCCGCTGCTGCGGGGAAGATAAGCGAAGACAGATGGTTGGACTCGGACTCCGCGAGCTGCAGCTCCAATGGCACCGTGGCATCAATGCAAACAGCCGCCAGGGTTTGGCTGCAGGTGTCAACCACTAGTACTTTGAATGCTCGAGCGGGGAAGACCAGGCCCATCAGACAATCTGCTGCAAGGGATAGCCTGCTGAAGAGTCCGTTGCTTTTGTAACTTAATTGCTGTCACCGGCCTTCACCTGAACGTGACTTTTGTCTTCACGAACGCTGATTGAAAGAGTGTATAATGACACAAAGATCTGTGAACATCCTGAATCAAGGAATTAAAAGCATCTTGGTGGCTGCCACGCTGGCTACTATGCTTCCCTTGCAAGCATACAGCTCCATCGAGCGCTCCAGCCTCCTGCCAACACCACCTATGGGATTTAACAACTGGGCCCGCTTCATGTGCGACCTGAACGAGAGCATATTCATCGAAACTGCCGATGCAATGGCTGCTAACGGTCTGCGGGACGCAGGGTACAATCGCATCAACCTGGATGACTGCTGGATGGCCTATCAGCGATCCGACAATGGATCCCTACAGTGGAACACGACAAAGTTTCCTCACGGGCTACCTTGGCTAGCCAACTATGTCAAAGCCAAAGGCTTTTATTTCGGCATCTACGAAGACTCCGGCAACATGACCTGTGGAGGATACCCTGGATCCTACAAGCATGAGGAGCAGGATGCCAACACCTTCGCCTCCTGGGGAATTGACTATCTCAAGCTCGATGGCTGCAATGTCTATGCAACCCAAAGCAGGACGCTTGAAGAGGAATACAAGCAGCGCTACGGACACTGGCATCAAGTTCTCAGCAACATGCAGCACCCACTGATCTTCTCCGAGTCAGCCCCGGCATACTTTGCGGGTACAGACAACAACACAGACTGGTACACTGTGATGGATTGGGTGCCGATATACGGGGAGCTAGCACGCCATTCAACTGATATTCTGGTGTACAGTGGAGCAGGTAGCGCATGGGATAGCATCATAAACAATTACAACTACAACACCCTTCTTGCACGCTACCAGCAACCGGGGTACTTCAACGACCCCGACTTTCTAATTCCGGATCATCCGGGCCTTACGGCGAATGAAAAGAGGTCGCATTTCGCACTGTGGGCTTCTTTCTCGGCTCCCCTCATTATAAGCGCCTACATACCCGCGCTATCGAAGGATGAAATTGCCTTTCTGACGAATGAAGCATTGATTGCGGTGGATCAAGATCCCCTGGCACAGCAGGCCACGTTGGCGAGTCGCGACGACACCCTGGATATATTGACCCGTAGTCTGGCGAACGGCGATAGACTGCTTACCGTGCTTAACAAGGGTAACGCAACTGTAACGAGGGGAATTCCAGTGCAATGGCTGGGTCTGGTCAACACTGGCTGTACATATACTGCCGAAGATCTCTGGAATGGCGATACCCATAAGTTCGGCGATCATATAAAGGTTGAATTAGCCAGCCACGCAACATCAGTCTTCCGGCTCAGTCTGCCAGCCGAATGTTCTTCGGTAGTCCCAACCGGACTCATTTTCAACACAGCATCGGGCAACTGTCTGGCCGCTACCTCAGATTCTTCAGTCACATTTCAGTCCTGCAATGGAGAGGTCTCCCAGATTTGGCGGGTGACGTCGTCAGGAGTCATTAGTCCACTACCGCAGACGACACAATGTTTGACTGCCGATGGAAGCTCAGTGAAGCTTCAAGCATGTGACAGCACTGAGGACGACGACCAGAAATGGACGTATGCAGTCACGGGGAATTTGAAGAATGCAAAGACAGATACTTGCTTGACGGAGGGACCGGTACAAATGAAGTCGTGCCTGGATGAGAGGGATGGTCAAGTATTTGGCCTCCCGAGTGGCGTCGAGTTGTCGTAGGGGAGTAAGAGGAGATATGGGGGAGCAGAGGCATATGAGATCTTACATCTAGGCAGCTGTTCTATGTTGATGTCTAGACAACTAGACAAATGATATACATCTCAGATGCTATTAGTAGGGGCATATACTTTATCTGCAGCTGTTCCCGCCAATTCTCGATGGTACCCTGTGTGTAGCAGCGCCTTTCAACTTAAACCAAGTTTGACAGGCCTCAAGAAGGTAAATGCAATGTTAATCAACAAGAGTCGCATATAGCAAATTATACATTGCTCTGTGTCTAGAACCTCGAGGGGCTAAGGCTCTAGCCATTCTTTCCCCAGGTTCACCAAGCATTGGACAATGAAAGGTAGCTGGAATGCATTGGGAGATGCGGATTGTCCAATATCCATATTCGGAATGTCACTGCGATTAGACCTGCATTCCTAAGCACGTGCATATCTGAAAATATGCTAATATCTTCCGCAAACCTTTATTCACCTGAAGTGTAGACCACATAGATCCCGCCAATAACATAACAATTTCTTGGTCTTAAGCGTATACTGAAAGCACGATCAAGGCTGCCTACGAGAGATCTTTCTAAAGAAAATTGGAATTACTCGGGTGGGATTCAATCCTTCATATCAGCTACGGAAATGAAACGGCTGGACAGCAAGTCGCCAAAGCCCAGCATTCTTCGGCGCTATATCCACCAATGGCTCCACACAGCGCAGGGTAACCCTCAACCTTAGGGTCCCATAGCTAATCATAGTCAACGCCTGATACCCATCGTATATTGAAACTCGAGGAATGTGCCTCAACGGTCTGCACTGGAGCATAACAATGGCATTGTTGTATTGGGGACATTCCAGGAACTTAACTTGACAGCGCCTGTCATTGGAATGTACTATACTGGGCTGCCTCAAAAGACAGGCCTAGCTCTGACAGCAGTTGTTAAATACCTCTTTAACCTTCAAAGACCTTCAGCATAGAAAGTCAAGTCTCCACAATAATCTGAATCTAATCCTTCTATCTCCGACACAGTGAACGGCGTCATGGTTTCCGCCAAGACTATCATGATCACGATGATCACTGCGGTGATGGCGCAGAACAAGACCCAAATTGTATGTATACTTTCCGAATACTATTCTTCACAATGAATCAGTGAATTGTATGATCTGACTGGAATACTGCTAGGGCACCACGAGCGAATTTCGCGTCTGCACTGTAGACGCAAGACCCATCTACTCCGAATCCTGCATCTCCTTGAACCAAACTGGGTATATATCATTCCGAAACTTGTTGCAATAGAGCCCGCTTTGACACAAGAGAAACAGGTCAACCCAGTTTAATGTTGCGGTCGGCTGTCGCCAGTATGGGTATGACCCCCGATTCCGAAACAGATGTGACCTATCTAGCTGACCGATCATCTCCTGTAGAAGCACGACATGTACCGGAAATTACGATACGGTGGGATACCGGAGTGACTGCTATGAGAACAGCCGGTTCTTCCAAAATTTTGGTACGATAAGCGGGAGCATTTATTGCTATCCTTCTTAGGGGACGATGGGTTATTGAGACCTGTCTGAAGAGACTATGGGTGGACTTCACGCGGTAGTATCATGATTGTGAGGGTATGCTTATCTAGGTAGTGAATGAAATTGACTTTCTGTTTCTGAGCAGCCTGGGTGTGGCAAAAATAAGTGATAAGAAATTATTGGGGAAGTTGGCAGCTTCTTATAAAACATGAAGACAGCTCATATTACGGTCTTGTTTTACTCAATGTTCTGCGCATGTGGGTTGGTATCGGCAATTCCCGACGATATATTGGACCCCCCACGTTGAGCGAAGGCCATCGACAGCGGTAAGCTCAAGGGATCGTTGGGGAAGAGGGACTCAGCCGAGACAAGCCGCGAAAATTGTCCGTCTGGTAACCTGAGTTCAGACCCACGGTCCCAGAGAGCGACTATTGGACGCGACGGTACAGTAGCGGGCATTAGAGTGGATGATCTGGAGGCACCGATGCTTGTTCGCCGGCGCTAATTTAGGGCCATCGCTTAGAAGAAGAAAACAACGAAGGTATTCCTCAGCCACGGCAGTTTTATCAGGCGTCGGAAATACTCTGAAAGACACGAAAAGATTGAGAGGTGCTTTCAAATGGGTTTGAGTCATTGTCAAGTGTCTTACAAAATGAATGGCAGCATGGCGTGGTTAGCAGGCAGCATGTTGCAACAACTCAATCCCGGCGATCACCGTCGGACTCCGGGTGGGAATCAGGGTTGGAGACCCATTGCTTATCACAACAGCCGACGCCAGTCGCTCTGGGGTGCATTTGCAGAATCCCTTCGACAAATCAGCTTTTCTTCAGTACCGGCCGGTCCGAACTGACCCAGTCTGCTAGCAGTTGGAGACATGCAATGATGCCATTGTCTCGTCCGATAAGCAAGGGCGGCCAGTCCCCCGTCCCTTCTGTCTGACTTGGAAAAGTTATAATGTCCGTCTCGCCGGCTTAGCAGTCAATTCGAACTCTTCGTCTGTTGTCCCTCTCAATTTCTCCAGCATGCGTTCCTCCGGTCTTTACACAGCACTGCTGTGCTCTCTGGCCGCATCGACCAACGCGGTTGTTCATGAGAAGCTCGCCGCGGTCCCCTCGGGCTGGCACCATCTCGAAGATGCTGGCTCCGATCACCAGATTAGCCTGTCGATCGCATTGGCACGCAAGAACCTCGATCAGCTTGAATCCAAGCTGAAAGACTTGTCCACACCTGGTGAATCGCAATATGGCCAGTGGCTGGATCAAGAGGACGTCGACACACTGTTCCCAGTGGCCAGCGACAAGGCCGTGATCAGCTGGTTGCGCAGCGCCAACATCACCCATATTGCCCGGCAGGGCAGCTTGGTGAACTTTGCGACCACCGTCGACAAGGTGAACAAGCTTCTCAATACCACTTTTGCTTACTACCAAAGTGGTTCTTCCCAGAGATTGCGCACAACGGAGTACTCCATTCCCGATGATCTGGTCGACTCGATCGACCTCATCTCCCCGACAACCTTTTTCGGCAAGGAAAAGACCAGTGCTGGCCTGACCCAGCGGTCGCAGAAAGTCGACAGCCATGTGGCCAAACGCTCCAACAGCTCGTCCTGCGCCGATCTCATCACGTTATCCTGCTTGAAGGAGATGTACAACTTTGGCAACTACACTCCCAGCGCCTCGTCAGGAAGCAAGCTGGGATTCGCCAGCTTCCTGAACGAGTCCGCCTCGTATTCCGATCTTGCCAAGTTTGAGAGACTGTTCAACTTGCCGTCTCAGAACTTCTCCGTGGAGCTGATCAACGGCGGCGTCAATGACCAGAACCAATCGACGGCTTCTCTGACCGAGGCTGACCTCGATGTGGAATTGCTCGTTGGCGTGGGTCATCCTCTTCCGGTGACCGAGTTTATCACTTCTGGCGAACCGTGAGCTTTTAATGCCTAGACTGAGCTTGATGAGTCGAAGCTGATTTATGTAGTCCTTTCATTCCAGACCCCGATGAGCCGAGTGCCGCCGATAATGAGAATGAGCCTTACCTTCAGTACTACGAGTACCTCCTCTCCAAGCCCAACTCGGCCCTGCCACAAGTCATTTCCAACTCCTACGGTGACGACGAACAGGTAAGACAAGACTATACATCTCTCCCTCAACATCTACATACTAACCGACCCAGACCGTTCCAGAATACTACGCCAAGCGAGTCTGCAACCTGATCGGACTCGTCGGCCTGCGCGGCATCAGCGTCCTGGAGTCATCCGGTGACGAAGGTATACTCCTCACCATCATCGTCCACTAAAGCACACTTGCTAACAGCAGCACAGGAATTGGATCTGGCTGCCGCACCACCGACGGCACTAACAGCACCCAATTCAATCCCATCTTCCCCGCCACCTGTCCCTACGTGACCGCCGTAGGAGGCACCATGTCCTACGCGCCCGAAATTGCCTGGGAAGCCAGTTCCGGTGGTTTCAGCAACTACTTCGAGCGAGCCTGGTTCCAGAAGGAAGCCGTGCAAAACTACCTGGCGCACCACATCACCAACGAGACGAAGCAGTATTACTCACAATTTGCTAACTTTAGCGGTCGCGGATTTCCCGATGTTTCGGCTCATAGCTTTGAGCCTTCGTAAGCCCACCCCCCTCTTTGATGATACTACAAGAACAGAAAATTAACAAGGTCCACAGATACGAAGTTATCTTCTACGGCGCCCGTTACGGCTCCGGCGGTACTTCCGCCGCATGTCCTCTGTTCTCTGCGCTAGTGGGCATGTTGAACGATGCTCGTCTGCGGGCGGGCAAGTCCACGCTTGGTTTCTTGAACCCCCTGCTGTACAGTAAGGGGTACAAGGCGCTGACGGATGTCACGGCGGGACAATCGATCGGGTGCAATGGTATCGATCCGCAGAGTGATGAGGCTGTTGCGGGCGCGGGCATTATCCCGTGGGCGCATTGGAATGCCACGGTCGGATGGGATCCGGTGACAGGATTGGGACTTCCTGATTTTGAGAAGTTGAGGCAGTTGGTGCTGTCGTTGTAGACTATATGGCTATATATGGGATGAGATTTTGTATGTGTTATGATGTGATAGTATGTGAGATATGTGTGAGATGATTTGCGAACTACGTAGTATGTACGAGTTTCACATGGCTTGCTTTCCTGAATGGTAATATAATGACAGGGGTCTTAGTAGAGGTTTCATGACCGCTTCTGTGTCTCATGCAGGTTCCTCCCCCCCCCCCCCCCCCCTCTCAACGACCGTCATAGACAAAGTCAACAGACCCCGACGCGCCCATTATGAGTGGCTGATAAGGACATGCATAGTTACTCCGTGGAAGCCCCGAAATTAGTTGCGACAGGGGTCGAGGGAAATACACCCAATCAATCACTTACCCCGCTTCTGGCACCGCATAGGGCTGAGCGATGTGATGGTCCAATGCCAGCGATTTGCCGATTAGCCGTAGGGCCACTTGTTGTTTCCGGAATGACCCTGCAATCCATGCTTCGTGCATAGGAAAACCGTGCTATTCGTCCATTCTTGCTGGTCTCCGAATGGAGATATCTACCTAGGTTCCATTTCTACTTTGACGGGCTACGCACCATATCTGCAGTCAATGCACGAGGGCCAGCAAACTCCGCTATACCAGTGCAACCCAACTTCATCGGCCGAGTATGATATTAAACTCATTATTGGTGTGATTATAAGTTAATCGGAAATGTACGCCTGACCCTCACTTGATATAGGGCGGAAGTATTTCAGGATACAAAGGGAATGGCTCATCCATACACTCTGTCGCGCGTTCGCCCCGGTCATACGACACCTGCACGGGAACCCGTAGTCGCAAACTCGCATTCCTCGAGTTATCTACATCGACCGAAACGAAGACGGAGAGGCTGTACCGTCGGGAGATGTACGGATGGGTAAATGTAGGAGGGAGGTAATCGGGCGCGTCGAAGTTGAGGATCAGGGGGGTAGTTGCTTGGTATGTTGTCGGTTGGTCTGTCATATCATACAGAGTCAGGAGTGATAAAGACCAGTGAGAGCGCATGACGTACCCTGCTTGTTAAGACCGCAGTCCTCCCACGATGCGATGCGCAACTTTCGCACCTGAGTACAACCCGTTCCCGTCGTATTCGCAACAAGCTTGAAATCCAGCAACTTGTTGGCGTCCCCCTCTAATGGGAGTCGATCTTGCGGAGACACAGAAACAAAGGTCGTCGCGCGAAGAGACGTCTGGATGCTGGCATATATCCCGGGGATATTTGCGTGTTGTTGCGATGGATTTAGACAGCGATAGTGCCACTTTAGTGGAACTACCGTAGACACCATTCCCGAATTCATTAGGTACAGCGGGGCAGGTTCCCCAGTCTGAACGGATAGATAGTATAATTCACGGCGATGTAATCTATCGCGAACACTTCGTGACGATGCGAGGTTATATTCGCCAGGAAAGTCGGGAATGCAAATGGGAGGGGCACATTCTCGAGCCGGTGCAAACGTTACTGGCGCTTCAGTCTCGGCGATGCATTCTTCGTAGTCGAAGAGTCGGGCTTTCAAAAAGTATTCTATACGGCCTTGCCCGCGCAGTATCAGATCGTTGGAGTTGTAGACTGGCATGGGTTTGAAGGAGAGTGATGGGGGTAGAGGAGTGGTGTCATATTCGTCGGACGAGACGGAGTTGGCGGTTCGGGGGATGTTGAAGTGGAAGGGGTGTAGGATTGTGCGTGCTGTGTCGGTGGTGTGTTGTTGTGCTAGTTCGCGCACATCGGATGCTCGGAGGAGCTGAACTGAGTTAATACCAAGATATTATCGGAAAGAGCGCAAGGCCATTTTACTGTGATATTCTTTGCGAGTCGCAGCAGCTGCGTTGAGACATTCAGATTGACTGCTGTTGATAGATGACCTGGTATAGCGGGTTAAAACCAGAGAATAATTTCTTCAGTGGGATATTTACCTTCAAAGGTCACTTCGACGAGTAATTGTTGCGATGGACTGGCAGTCTCATTGCCTGGCATCGATACGATGACATTGCCGTCAAGGTGACCGTCTGTGATGACATGGCTGCTGTTTGCTGAGAGTACCTCTGCATAATCCGACGACGTACAATTTCTCCTTGTTTGTTGATTGAATTGAATGTGAATTCGCGGTGCCATCCTGCATGTTCTAAGGATACCACTGTGACCATCTTCGCCAAAGGAAGCAGATAGTTGTAGGGAAAAGGTGGAAGAACCCAGCACACCGAGCTAGCCCGCTGAGAATCAGGTGAGCACGCACCGGAGGAGATTACACTTCGAGACATGGACTGTCGCAGTTTAGTAGGTCATCGTGCAGGTTGAAATGACGCTACCAGCCCGTCTGGCCCCTAACAGGGATGCATCCTCCCTGCCGATAGGGCTGAAGGGGGCTCGACAGGGATCTGAGGGATTTTCCGGATTGTTGGCCGCGCCCCGTGCAGCAGGCTCGGTCATAGTGCCTCTTGTCCAAGCCTCGACTAACACCATAGTACTTACTAGCACAAAAGCTTAGCATACATGACTAGAGAATCGATGGACAGGATTTGTTGTAATTTGCACGGGTCTGAGCGTTGACGTTGCACAGCAGCAGCTGATAGTCGGTCAGATGGAGCACGCTGTCAGATTTTGGGGGCGCTTTGGTTGTTCAATCGGCAGCAGGTCATAGTTCCGGGCTCACTCTTGCCGAGGGTAGTTTCGGTGAAAAGGGCTGATCGGGACGACACATTGCGATCCATACTCTGTGCTATGATATATAACGGGATTTACATCATTTAGGAGGGAAGAGGCTGTTCGATATCGGAGATGGGGTAATAGTATTCCCAACGTTTGATTCAAGACTAGTAAAAAGTCTATTGTCTAACCACTCAATACATATATGAGAAAAATGTTGTTACAGTAGAAAGTAAATCCCGTCCCGTAGACGCACGCTCAGCGATTTTCATAATCCTCAAGCACTGGTAGAAGAGGGCATAGCACCGGACATGGACATGGAACCCGAAGGAGCACCACCACCACCACCACCACCAGAGCCACCACCCATGGCAGCGCTGTCCGAGTTCTCGTGACCGCCGTTCTCATCGTAGTAAGCAGCAATGCTGTAGTAGGAGTTGTCGGTGTAGTCGGCAGTAGTGTTGATACCAATCTGGATCCAGGCGAACAAACCGTCCTCAATGCTGTCACCGAGGTACAGGAACTCCGGGAAGGGGTCGTAGGCGCTGGTGGCCTGCTCGACACTCCACATGTCGTCGGCATTGCTGGTGATATCCTGAGTGTTGGTGGTGTAGGGGTATGTGTTCTCAACAGCGGTACGCAGGACCTCGTTCCAGAAGAGCTGGCCGATGTGGGCGACGCTGCCAGTGCCCACTTGGAGGGTGCCGTTGTTGCGGTTGATGGTGGAGTTGAGGTGAGTCAGGAGATGGGTGTGGATGGCGCGGCCGTCGTAGTGACCGGGGAAGATGGTCTGGAAGGTGACAACACCATCCTCATCGGTCTCTTGGATACCACGGAGGAAGGTCGAGTCCCAGCCGTCGGCGGCGTAGTTGCCACTGGTGGAGATACCACTACATACTTAGCTATGATCGGATGATAGGATAAAAAAAAGCACCATACCTGTAAACACCGGTAGCGTTGGCGTTCCAGATGTCGACCAGAGCACCCTGCACAGGCAGGCAAGTGTTGACATCGATGTACTGCACCTCGAGGAAGAGGTCGACACCGTCACAGTACTTATCCTCCTTGACGTTCTGACGGATCACTTCACCCCAGACGTAGTAGGGGCCATCGGTGATGGTGGGAGTGAGGATGGAGCTGGTGTTGGCGCCGAAGATGTCGGCCTCGGAGGTCTGGGGGGAGTAGTCAAGGAGGCCGGTCTTGTTGTGGTTGATGGCTTCCCACTTTTCGAGAGCCGCGAGGTTCCGGCGGAACTTGTGGGGAGCTATTTATGGTCAGACGATGCAATCACGGTTTGCCAGTTCAGGCCTGCTTACCAGCAGTCACGCCCCTCTTGGAGCGCAGCTCACGGGCAGTGTTAGCGCGGCGGGAGACGGAGCGCTGCTGAACCTGTCTAGCCTGGTGGCTGTTGGAGCAAGCACTGACACCATGTCTGGCCTGCTCAGCGAGGGCATCGCGAAGGCGAATCTCCCGCTTGACGGCCTCATGGTCATGTTTCTCGCCGGGGTGGGCGAAAGCCAGAGTGGCCGCGGTGAGAGTGAGGAGCTTGGAGAAATGCATGATGAAGCTATTTGACTGATCGAGATAATTGAGCTGCGATCGTGCTGGTAATGGCCTTCAAGTCGTGGCTGAGGGTCTTGATATTTATGCTCAACATTGTTGATGCCTCTGCTATAGCCGCGTCATCCAGTCCCATACTGGCGTGGCCGTCAGGCTACCCTGTGAGCCGTACTCACTTCCTAGTGAAGATTTCTGATATCTCAACTGTCAGGGGACTCGTCATCACGTACCCTGGCGGCAATTGGAAACCCTAGAGGGACTCCGAGATGCCGGCTGGGCAATGGAAGCTTCTTGGCGCCGCGTACGTGGATCCGCAGCAAAGGATAGAAGCTCAGGGAACTCGACCCTGAAAGGTGGATGATCGACACGCATCACGAATCATTGCCATGCAATTAGTACGCATGGAGCGTCTGACGTTATCAGATCAGGGATCCGGACAGCGTCCGCGGGTCTGGGGTATTCTTCGCGCCTTGGCTCTTGTTTCCGCCAATTCTGGATGGTGGCTCAGTGGTTTCATCTGGCAGGCCAAGACCAGGACGGACGTTTAGTCACTGCCATTGGTACTCTATCTGTATAGTGATTCGTAATCTCTTCGACGAGGTATACAACGGGAGGCTGTTGTTGCGTGGAATATGGCAGGGTTTGTCTGGTTGTGATCTCGTCCGGGCTCCGCGGTGTCCGAAATTTCCCCTGCAACGGTGGAGGTATGCAAAGAATAGAAGCACGGGCCGCCGAATGCACCTAGAATGTGTTTCCGAAGCAGACCTGAATCGAAGTATTGTGTGTGCGAGGTGAGGCGCAGAATTGGACAGAAGTAGTTGCGTATAGCTTCTTTACGTCTCGAAACGGCAATGATCGCTGCACATCTGGTTCAAACTGCCGCTTAGTCAGATCCTCTGTCTCCCCCGGCCACTGAAGGCTCAAAATCGGGCAGTTGTGGATGCTTTTCCACTACCATCCCCGAGCCGATGACGCACAAACCATCCACCTTCTAAATCCATCGGAGCATAACTTGCTCCCGTCCCTGGTTCGGATGTCATGTTTCGGTTAACGTCTAGTGGAGCTTCATCATCCACCGAAACTGCCAGGAGAATAGTATATGTTGTGACGGGTTCTAGAGAATCTGGGCGCCCGCATCGCATGACACGCATGGTTAAGTCCTGAACGTTCAACTTGATCATTGTCAGAATTTGCACCCGCTGGACATCATTCTTCAGTCGCCGAGAATGATCAAGGCTGCGGTGTTGATTTCTTGCAAGGCCCTCCTTTACATTCAGAGATCTGAATAAGGACGTAAAGACGCTCCAGTCTTCAGATTATCCCCACGTTGGAATGATCACCCGAACCCTGTCCGAAGCTGTAGGCAGATGGCGCTGCATCACTCCCAGATTTTACCTTCTGGAAGTCATAGATAACTGCGGATCACGGAGCGTTTAGCACATTTGGTCGTGTCAGTCAGAAGTTGGGGAAAGAAGCATCAGAGACGGAAATAATAAATGCAGGACTGGGCGCAACCTGTCTTTTTGGGGTGAGGGGGTGCTGTAACCCGTAAAAGGCGCGGACTTTATGAGATCGAGTCTGTCGCTGAACACTTGACGGATCGTGAACCTCCAGAAACTCACCGCTGATGATTCCAATAGGCTTGCGTGTGATTGTATTGGGTGCGGGTGCATTAGTGGCCTTCATCTGCCAAAGTTGGGCACACTGATCGGCGCGCATCCCCCAGCCACCGCATCATTGACCTTCGCCCCGAACCCCTGCTAACCAAACCACTCCTCAACGTGCAAGAATCAAAGGAACCTAGTACTATTATGGCTTCCTCCAAAACCGAGCTCGACTATCGCGTTACCGACAACGTCGGCTACGGCCTTGGTAGCGAAACCGCAGCCGCATTTCGACTCAATGGAATATTTCACTTCTGGAAAGAGCACCTCGGCTTCAACATCCACCCGACCATTCGGGAGTCCTTGCAGACCTCAAATCCCCGCATCGCTGATGTAGCCACAGGCACAGCCATCTGGCTCATAGACTTGGCGAAGGAGCTTCCCGATGCGACCCTCGACGGGCTCGACCTGACTCTCGACATGGCGCCCCCGGTGGAGTGGCTGCCACCCAATATCACCCTGCGGCAGTGGAATATCTTTGAAGACCTGCCCGAAGAATTGGTGGGACAGTTCGATCTCGTACATCTGCGACTACTTCTACCAGTTATCCAGAATGGCGATCCCTCGTCAATCATTCAGAAGATCACCCGCATGCTAAAGCCCGGAGGATGGATCCAATGGGATGATTTGAACATCCGGGAGGCAAAGATCTTCAAAGCCAGGCCCGAACTCAAGGTTGAAGCGTTGGAATACCTCTCTCGGTTTTGGAATACCGGCGAACGGCAGGAATGGATTGGTCGTCTTCCGCAGAGTTTTGAACAAGAGGGACTGAAAAGAACGAGCATTGATCGATATGAAAACTTGAAGCAATATCTCAAGGCCGACTGCGAGGGATATATTGTGACTTGCGAAGAGACTGCGCGAACACTTGCCAGGAAGGGCAAGGTCGATGAAGCGAAAGAATTCTCTCAGATCGTTCATCAAGCATCGCTGGAAGCTGCGGCTGGCGCTGCCGTGGTGGCTACTAGGGTCGTTTGTATCGGGCAAAAGCCAGTGGAGCTGTGAACTAAATGATCACCTGGAGGGAGGTAGGCACATAATCTAAGAGTTGGGTGAAGATGATTTTGCTTGAGGAGTTGGATGTTAATACATAGTGTGGCTTGCAGTCCATGTGCTGGGACACTCCTTCCCCATAGCAGCAAAAGGAGGACTTTAAGGGAGGAGTCAAAGTCTGCCTGAAGATGATAAAACTGCACTGATGACATTGTAATGCCAATAGGAAATGTTTCTCGTAGTTCAAGACCTTGTCGTATCTCCATTAATGTCGCACGCCTGCACATCAGTGCTACCCGTTCCGTGCCCCGAATAGCGTAATCGCTGTCAGAATGCCCTCATATATTCCATAGTACACTAGCTGCATGCCGAATTGGTTCCACTTGCTGTCCAGTTGTGTCACGAATAACCCCAATATGATGGTCAGCTATCGTAAGCTTGTGTGACCATCCATTAAGCTCGATATATTCTTTCTTCAACTCCATTCTTCTCTATTATAAATAATGTACCTTTCTGAAGTTTTAGTAATCTCGAATTCTACCAAGGACATGCTGAGCATCTCCACATCGAGATATATAGTTGAAGCATTATCGAACCCAACAAATCCCAGCTTAGAATCCCACCGCATCTACGAACCATTCTCACACCTCCTCAAAAGCTCCCACAAATGCGGCTGCAAGAACTGCCTCTCCAATCCCAACGTCTCAGCCAAATAAGACCGCCAGTTATCCTCCAACCAGAGCAGATCCTTCGGCTCAACCTCCCCGAGCGCCTGCACAATCATAAACCCGAGATAAGTATCCTCGTCCTCGAACGGTTTCGAGATCTTCAGCCATCGCGACCCCGGAAAAGCATGTAGAATGTCCCCATCGATGCAGCGGCGCTCGAGCGCCTCGTAATCATTGTCGTCGCAGTGGAAGGTGCAGGTTAATAGATACCGGTCGGGGCCTATACATGCCGCTATGGATTAGCAATGATGGACGTCGACGTTATTAAGTTGGCATACATACCAGCATTTCCCGTCTCATTCCCCTCGCCGTTCTTCAGTACGAAGAGTTGCTGGAAGATCCTTGTGTCGAACTCAGCAATCTCTAAACACGACTTGGTCGTGCCCAGCATGCTATGTGTTTTCGGGATGCGAGCGAAGTTCTCCGGCTCCATGAAATCTAAATCGTCGCAGTCGTATGCGGCAAGCCAGCGAAACTGTTTCTGGGGCCCTAGAGCTCGGAAGAATTCTCCTTTTGTCACGGAGCCTGTCTTTAGGACATCGGGGACATGATGCTCCTGGTACCATTGGCTGAAGACCTCGTCTGTGACGGTGGGGTCTCGGAGGCGGGATGAAGCGTAAAGCCAAAATTTTGAGGAAGACATTGTTGTGACGCTTGCAGACTGCGCAGGGTACTGAAATCGAATATTTTAATCAATTGAATGAGTCCATATCAAATGCGAAAAAGAGAACGCATGGCCGATAGATATATTCTGACATGGTCAATCGTTACCTCGCTCGGGATCAGAAACAACGACCTTGTTAGGAAACCACATTGACCTCTCGAATCGATATCAGATTGTATCGCGAAATGCACGATGCGTCATATGACGCTATTCCCACAGTGCCCGACGCCACGTAACTGAGCGACCAAGATCTTGCGTTGCACTACCCGGACACGAGAACTCTGGCCGTGCTTGCTCAACTTTCTGGTCACTAGATCCCACCAATGAGTGTATATGGATCAACGATGAACCATGGAAGTCCCGTTCTCAAACTAGGCTAGTCAGCAATGAGTAGTAGTCTCCGTCGTAGCAAGCTGGTCGAGAAGTCGATGCGACATCCTGTCAACGCATTGCCATCCTGTATACACCTTGACCGACATTTCATGAGCTGAGTGAAATCACATATGTACTGTTCATCGGGAAAAATAGCAATAAAAAGCAGACTTGAGTCGGAATATATTGTACCTTAGACACGATGATCGTTTTGCCCTAAATCACTTCATGAAAACTTTTCAGAGTGGTTTTACTGGCCCCCTGTGACTTTGCGAAGTTAGATTAGTGATCCACCAAACTGGGTTCTGGACCTGTCGTTGAAACAATCCGGCATGGATCGACATCCAACTGCAGGCAACACGCCTGTCACACTCATAACAAATGGAATTTAGGAGACGATCATACCGCCTACAATGATCTCCCTCTTTGCGGCAATTTCCTGCTTGAGGCTCTAGTTGAATCTAGGCCACCACTCGTGCTAAAAGTATATCGATTATGGCCACACCCAGTTTCACCTGAAGTTTGCGTTCGGCCCCAAAAGAGTAGGAAGCAGGTAATAATTGGCGTTGTATAAGCCGGTCGCATGCTTTCTCCTTCCAAGCACTTTCCTCATCCCATGCCGAGGTTTCAGAAAGTTGCTCCATTTCACAGATGATGCTATTATCTCAGCCACTCGATGTCAAATTCAACTTTCAGATTCTTGGATCATAATCCGTGGTTCAGACTTCTTGTTGCTGTCATATATGCGATATCCAACCCTGTATCCCTGCGCACTGTCCCCTCCGGCAGTGGCTGCGGCCGGAAAAAGGGTGATCCACCGCCTTCCTTCAGTAGAAGTTTGTGGAAAGTCAAAGATCCAAGTGGCTTACAGGCGTGCAACTTGGCGAAGATAGTTACTTGCTTATCTTCATGGTGGCTGAAAGTAGACGACGTAGCTGACACTAGCCGGCTTAACGTCGTGTGTAACCCCTTTTCCACGCGCGGGCTATAATCAGGTGAGACTGGCATATCATGGCGGAACATGGAATCGAAACATAAGTGACAGTGTTGATTCCGTGTTATCCAGCTTTAGCTGCTCACTCGGTTTTGGAGGCCTAACGACCTTATTGGTGCAATCTGGATGTAACAGTCCTGCTAATTGTTCACCCAATCATCAGGAACAGGATGTATAGGTCCACCCAAGGCGGGTAATGATTTTCACCTGGTTGTGTAAGCCCACACCTCCTTGCTCAGCGATACGAGATATTATGCGACCTGTATATCTCGGAAACAGCACGGAAATGTCAGGGCTTACTACCACGTGTATAACTGTTTTCCTACTCTATAGCACTTGATTGTATGCTGCAAAGCGCACCCGCACGAAACCGCTTTGGCCTGAATTCTAGGCCGCAAGGAGGGTAATTGTTGGCAGCGTATTTCCGCCCCGATTTCTCCACCCTTTCCCCCGCAATCCATACATTTCGCTTGTATCTAGCGTGGTCTCTCATTCTGACAGCTATCCGGGTGTCCCTTTTGGTTCATTGCATGACGCCCAATTAGGCGTACCATATCTCAGAACACGTGGACTGATGCATGGATATCTCAGCGTCTCTAGAGTACGTATGAATGTTCGTGTTGGAGCCCTAAGGCTGAAAGTCGTGCATCAGTGCAAGGTACTACTATACTCTCTTCCATGTGATGAGGAAGATGAGGTAGAGGCTGTCGGACCATGCCTCCCTGCCGGATTACCCCGACCGCTCTGTTTCTGTTTGACTCAGGAAGGCTAGCGGGCCAGTGGCAGCGATTGGAGGAGCCAAGGACTGGGCGCGGTCATCTGCAAGCACCAGGAGCCGTGGGAAGCTTTGGTAGCTTTGGCCGGCAGCGCCACGTCGGATAGATCGGCCGCCACCTACGTGCTCTGGATCAGATGGAACACCGCCAAGGGAGCCAATGCGACACAAGCAACCAATGACCCATGAAGTCAAAAGAGTTATTTCACTCCGTACGAGCACAACTCCTGATCCTGATGTCGGGTAACCTGTGTGCGGTTGGATTGGGGCATCACTAAAAGCTGGAGATCACGTGGCCACTGGTGGGGGCCTGAGGCCGAGTCACCGCCGCATTAGGAAATCCCGGCGTGTAACAACCTAACAATGGTAACGGGAATGTGACAGGCAATCGATTAATTTCCCTAGCTTCACCAACCCCCGACCGGCTCACGTTAGCTTTCCGTAGCGTGGGATTGCACTCAAATCATATCTCTTGTAAGCAACCGAAGTTGGGTTAGGCAGACCCACGGCTGTCTCGTGGCCTGACCATTGCTACACCCCGTCCATCTGGACTGGCCTACCAATCCCCGTGGGGTTTCCCCAGCCGGGGATCTTGATTTCACGCTATTCAATCGTCCATGTACACTGACCTTATCCATGGTTGACTCTGGTCTCCCCCCATGTCCTCATACCTATCTGGGGTCATGTCTTGTCGGCGCCCGACCGCAATCACAGACGCCGGCTTCGGTGCTCCCCTCATCCCCCTCCTTTGCAGAGACCGGCCTCCTTTGATGCATCCTCAAATGACGGCATGAAAAGGGCCATCCTGGTCCAAAGTGACCAATCCAATCCAGTTTCTTGCGCCCACATCGACTAGGATGTAACGGAGCCTTATGGTCAAAGTATTTCCAATCCAACCAGATGCCGCCTGGTTGGCTGGCACACGCGTAGCGGTCGGTAGAAGCCGCATCAAAGAACTCAACGATTAGTCGAACTCTGTGCCCATGCGCCGTTTTGGCCAAGTCGATGTCTCGTCGTCATTCGACAAATACACTGACGGGATCCACTTCCTAGGACAAGGCTCTCGCGTGAGATTCGATAAATGGCCGGGGTCTCTCCCACCACCCCGGAGGACTTTGATTAACCCTGAAACGTGAAAAGGTGATTGTCAAGCCGCTCAAGCCCCAAGTCTTGCGACTGAAGTATGTTCTTGTTGGCCTCCAAGCCACAGTCGCGTAGAAAGTTCAAGGTATCGGCCTTCCGGTTCCTCTCCATTACTTGAATCACCTCTCCTCTGAATCGTGATTTGATACCTCGTCAACAAGACTTTAAGCGCGTCTACTGTGTGGGAATCCTGTTTTTAGTTGACCTCTCGCAATGGACGGAGAAGGGGTCACGGCGAAGGCCGTTCACAAGGACGAAAACCCCGCCAGCGTTGAGCACGCTGAAAAGCCACAACAGCGACACGATGTCTTCGATGTCGAAGGGCGCTCGGGCGGTCTCAACGCCGTATTTGAAAACCCCTTGGCAGGCGTGCCGCGAGAGCAACTCCTCGACGACGTGGAGCGCTTTTGTCGCCAGTACGGTCTCGAAGCCCACTTGGACGAATTCCGCAAGGGCGCCTTGATCTCACAGAATCCGCAGGGCGCATTGGACCTTCCTGACCTGACCGAGGCGGACAAGGAGACCCTCCGGCGGGAACAGACGCATAAATGGTCGCAACCTTGGCGGCTTTACTTCTTGGCATGTAGGTGCTTTCATCAGTACTACCTGTCATGACCTTCTTCATCCCAATGCTGACGATGCTTCTCTAAAGCCATGTGCTCTCTTGCAGCCGCTGTACAAGGTATGGATGAGACTGTCAACAATGGCGCTCAGGCAATCTATCTCGATGTAAGTGCTCTCTCGTCTTTATACTCAAGTGGCCCACGCACTAATAATCAGTAGGAACTTGGGGTCACTGCACCCCGATTTTCCGAGCAAATGCAAGATTACCTTACTGGGCTCATCGTGGGCGCACCTTATCTAGCGTGTGCAATACTCGGTTGTTGGCTTACCGAGCCAATGAACAGATACTTGGCGCGACGTGGGACAATTTTCTGGTCCTGCTTCATTGCGGCAGTAGCTTCCATCTGGGAAGGCGTGGCTAATTCCTGGGTTAACCTCTTCATTGCACGGTTTGTCCTTGGCCTTGGTATTGGTTCCAAATCATCGACAGTGCCCGTGTATGCGGCTGAGTGTTCCCCGGCCCCCATCCGAGGTGCCCTTGTTATGATGTGGCAGATGTGGACAGCATTCGGCATTATGCTTGGGAATATCATGGGCGTTGCCTTTATGGGCGTATCGAGGGACCTTTCATGGCGTCTTATGCTTGGATCCACCGTGGTCCTGCCCGTCGTTGTCTGCGCGCAAGTCTACTTCTGCCCGGAGTCCCCTCGGTGGCTTATTCAACACAACCGCATTCACCAGGCTTTCGAGTCTTTCCGCACTCTCCGCCCCACTGATCTGCAGGCGGCCCGAGACTTGTACTACGCATACGTCCAGGTGGAGCTGGAACGGAAAGTCAACACCGGGAAGAACTTCTTCTCCATGTTCCTCGAACTCTTTACGATCCCACGCAATCGACGCGCCACACTTGCTAGCTGGATTGTCATGTTTCTCCAACAATTCTGTGGAGTGAATGTGATAGCTTACTATTCCACAACCATATTTGAAGATTCCGGATATAGTATCCAGCAAGCCCTATTGGCCAGCATGGGAACAGGGATCTTGAATTGGGTTTTTGCACTCCCCGCATTCTTCACCATTGACACGTGGGGCCGCCGGAACCTGCTGCTCTTCACGTTTCCATTCTTAGCCATCTGCCTTCTGTGGAGTGGCTTTTCATTCTGGATTGAGCCGGACAACGCAACCAGTAAGAAGCGGGTGGCCATGGTCACAACGGGCATGTACCTGTTCGAGGTATTTTATTCCCCGGGTGAGGGACCTGTGCCGTTCACCTATTCTGCCGAAGCATTCCCACTGCAGGTGCGTGAGGTTGGCATGTCATGGGCCACTGCGACAACATGGTGTTTCAACTTCATTCTGTCGTTTACCTGGCCTATGCTCCTAAGAGCATTCAAGGCTCAGGGTGCATTCGGATGGTATGCCGCATGGTGTGCGATCGGATGGTTCCTGGTCCTGCTGTTTGTGCCGGAGACTAAGGGTAAGTATTGAACTTTGTCACAGTTGGGGGGGGCTAAAGCTAATGTTGGATAGAACTCACACTGGAAGAGCTTGATCAAGTCTTTTCAGTCTCGACGCGCAAGCACGCATCCTACCAGTTGAAGAATGCATGGTGGCATTTCCGTGTTTGGGTACTTCGGCAGAAGTTGGAACCATTGCCCAGATTCTATGAGCATGCGGAGAACCTGGCAGAAGGGCACGCAGAGGGCCACCCACAGGAGTATAATGAGAAATGAGCGGTTCTAGGATATAGTATCGCTGTTGGTAGACGTGCAGTGCTCTCCCGGGGGTCTTTGATGATGATGAAGACTAATGGTTGTGGTAATATGTCAGTTGATGGATGCGAGTGATTAATTGTTTGATACCTGAGCTTAATACTCGAGAATAATATCTGCTTTTCAGTATTTGACAAGCATGGAACCTTATTTATAAAAGACCTGTAGATGGAACTCGTTAGTGCGTGAGAGGAGTGTCTGATTGAAGTGTGTAGCGTGTGCTTGTGTGTTGGTGATCTCAATCCAAGGAAGAAACGACGAGAACAGGCAAATCAGGTTGACCCGATTTGCACACTGTGCAGTGTTGTTGGAATAATGACTTTGCTCTCATTTAGCACACGCCAGTGGATCCAGCGATGTAGACTGTTATTCACTTGTAAACCTGATAAGCTACTTAAAGTTACTAGTCATCATGCAGGGTCGTAGTTGACCCACCGGACCTGAGACATATTATCTAGTGAATATCCAGGGTAGCCTTGCAATTATGTACAGAGGGGGAAAAAAAAAAGAAAGAAGATATTTGTTCTGAAGTCCCATCACACACAACTCTGTCTCATGATAATACGCGCCGCGGTGAATGCCAAGGCTGTAATACCCAAGGCAGTTGCTATGAACAGGCTCGCACTCATCTCCAATTGAGGTTTCTATATTTCATGGTTAGAAAGAGTATGACATATAGAATTCCGTTACAACCCACTTTATATTCCTGTATAAAGTCTTCCGTTTCACTGGTCTGTTCTTCTTCGTAGGAGACAACGGTCTCGTCTCCGAGCTCTGCATAATATTGCTGCAGTTGTTTTATCTTCGCCTTGACGAAGTCCTCACGAGCCTTATGCATCTCACTTCGACCCAGGTCATGATAATGAAGGGGCCCAGGCCTGTGGGATTCTCGTCTGCTTTCCCGGAGGCAATCACTCGGGGAACGGGAATGGTTGTGTTGTCTGCGATATATGCCATAAGTATGGCTTCTCCGCGAACTTTCTCTTCCGGAAACATGGATTTCCCTGGAAGCGGAAACCAAATCAGCCAGTCATCGCCGTCATCCTCCCAGTGTAGACGCAAACTAAAGTTGAACGATCCGCTGTGCATTGACCGAAGCAAGCAAACATCTCGGTTGCGGTACTTGTTAGCCAGTTCGCAGATGCCGCTGGCGGATTTTGAACAGCGTTCCACCCATTCTTTCCTCAATCTATCAAAATGTGCAAGCACTATATCATCGAAATCCTTCAATCGGAGAGGTTCGGGGTCTTATGTTGTTCATGAGTCTTACAATGGTCGAGTAATGAATGAACAAACCTGAGAGGGATAGGTTCATACACCGCTTTGTTGACCTTGCTGGATGTATGCTGGTGGTTCCTGGATCGGGTAACGGGCTAACCTATTACGGCTAGTCTCCGCATTGCCCAACGGATGTTAAAAGTTGACCAAGAATAAGCCTGAAATGGAGCATGATAATCGTAATCTGGAAATGTATTAAGTGCTAGTCTATCACTTTGTCCTTCGCAGTGAAACGAGTTCTATCTATAACGGTCTATAAAATACAAACATATCAATCCTCTAAGCAAAGCCTGGCTTGGTCATCTTGTGAACGTAATCGTCCAGGAGCCTATCCTCCTGCTCAACAATCGGCTCCACAACAGTCATGCCCCGATCAATCTCGGCCTTCAAACGCTCCCACTCATCCGAGGTACCATTGGCAGCAGCGGTATCCTTACGCTGAACGGCATCTCCGTTGGCATGACCATTCTCAGCTCCAGTGGCATGGCCATTAGCAGCCGTGGGGAAGAGGAACGGAGTGTACCCCGCAGCCTCGAAGGCATCCTTGGGAGGAACGGTGTAGCGGCCCTTCTTCAGAACGTACTTGCTGATGGAAACAGCGTAGAGTCTCTTCTTCAGCGCCTCGGGGTCATCCTGGCCCTTCTTTCCCTTGCCAGGCTTCAGGAAGTAAGTGACGATGTAAATCCACTTCTGGTCGAAACTGGCCACATGCGACTTGACCTCATACTTGGTGTATGCGGGGATCTCTCGCTTAAAGGTGGTGTAGACGCTGCCCAGAATGAAGCCCAAGAAACCCTTCTTTCCTTGTTCCTGCAGACGCTTTTCCAGGAGCGCAGCTCCCTTCACGACGATACTGGACATGAGAGCGGTACGGGAGACATCGAGATCGGAGAAGTAGGTCGAGTTGGATTTGTGCATGTTGAAGTCGGATGATGGGGGCACGAGAGTAGATGCTGACGGGCTCGAGAACCTCGGTGCAGGGACGGGCGGGCTGTTCGACAGCAGGGGTGATGAGGTAGCCATGCTTGAAGAAGTAGCGGTACACGCGAACCTAGGGTTGTCAGCAAATTGAATATACAAATAATGAAGATACGCGAATGGTCCGAATGCGACGTACATGCCAAATCATGGGGAGTGTCTTCAGGTTAAGCAAAGCGAAGAAGATGGCAGCAGCTTTCCAGAAGGTGACGGACTCCCAAAGGGAGCTCGCCAACGAGCGAATGGCCTCCATTTGGATATTCTGAGAGCAAAAGAGGATTAAAATTAAAATGAAGAAATATGTACAGAAAAGAAAACGACAGAGTCTATGATGGTCTATGCATGAAGGATCGCCTACAACAAAAGGGCGGGATTCCAGAAGGCTTAAAGAAAGGCAGGGCGGCAGCGGAAAAACTTGCCGTGGGGCGGCTGGACCGATTAGTGATAAGCTCCGATAAGCTGCTGCCGAGGTTTGCCCCAAAAAGGGGTATGCTTCCGTGCAAACTTTGATGCGATTTCCACTGTCCTGCTAGTTATCCACTTTTGGCTTACACAGATAGGTGCCAGCATGTAAGCTCATATGGCTTCTCAATACTCTCCGTGTGGCAAGCAGGCGCTCCGACTACGCATTGTCTTCCATTGGTTCATCACTTGTTTTGGCAAGGGGATTGGGGAGAGCTTGTATCCCTCAGTTCCCCAACAGAAATGTTGTTGGTGTCTGCTTCTCCACTCCACTGAGTAATGTGGAATCCGATCTGGTCTCCACCGAGTGCGGCTGAGAGCTCAGCTCTCTTTTGGACACCACCATGATTGCACCTGGCAACATGGCACGCCAAAGAAGAACCATTATGTATGTAGAAAAGAAAGGGTCACGGCTGCACCTGGTCTGTGCAGGTAGCTTTGGAACGCAGAGGAGGTCAGAGATCTTCTGCCCGATATTAGCGGGGAAGTCGAAAGTTAAGCCTATTATCTGAACCTGCATCTTCAGGTTGTCCATTGTGTGAAGCGCACATGCTGAATCATGTACACTATGTATAATGATGGTGTCGGTATCCTGTCCTTCAGAGAAACATGAAAAAAAAAAAAAAGGGGGGTATATTACCAAACCCCATTGCTTACCCCGCAATCCCGCCGGGGAAATTCCCAGTCTCTCCTCTCCTGACATGATGAATGTCGGGGTAGAATTGGCCCGATTTAGGAATTAATAGTATTATTCCACCAATCCACCCGCATAAGGGCAGCCCCCATGGCAGTTGGAGTAATTGAACCTGCATATGCGTGCCATTTCTGCATGAACATTTCGCGCCACTTCCCTCCATGTCCTGTTCGCCGTTTTCTCGCGTGGGTAATAGCGCGAACTGGTGTCAAACCCACGATTCTTTAACCGGCTGGGCAGTGCAATCGCCGATGATATATAATGTGAGGGTACGGAATAGATGCTGAGAAATTATTGCGCCGTGGGCGATAATACCATGAAGCTGCACTTCATACTCTCGTGCTGGGCCATCTTGGTCGCCCAAATCCGGGCGACTACAGATGGTCTGACAGATCTGGTCGCCTGGGACCCTTATAGTCTGACCGTCAATGGCAATCGCTTGTTTGTCTATTCCGGAGAGTTCCATTATCCCCGATTGCCCGTTCCGGAAATGTGGTTTGATGTCTTTCAGAAGATGCGCGCACATGGCTTCAACACTGTTAGGTTTGTGCAATGTGGATGTCCAAGAGTTCTTTCCAGACCCGTGACTTCTGACGGCTGTCACATAGTCTATATTTCTTCTGGGACTATCACTCTCCAATCAATGGGACATATGACTTTGAGACCGGAGCACACAATATCCAGCGCCTAGTCGACTATGCCCAAGAGGCCGGAATTTACATCATCGCACGGTTAGACATAGTTGCTCACCGTTTCCTCGGAAATTGCTGACATATAACCAGTGCTGGGCCCTACTGCAATGCTGAGTTCAACGGAGGTGGTCTAGCTCTATACCTGAGCGACGGGAGCGGTGGTGAATTGCGATCGAGCGATGCGACATATCACCAGGCATGGACTCCCTGGATTGAGCGTATTGGCAAGATCATTGCGGAAAACTCCATCACAAACGGTGGGCCAGTCATTCTCAACCAGATCGAGAATGAACTTCAGGAGACCACGCATTCTGCGACCAATACCTTGGTCGAGTATATGGAGCAGATTGAGGAGGCATTTCGAGCTGCTGGCGTGGACGTTCCCTTCACTAGCAACGAGAAAGGCCAGCGATCTCGGAGTTGGTCGACAGACTATGAGGATGTGGGTGGTGCGGTCAACGTCTACGGCTTAGACTCGTACCCGGGAGGGCTCAGTTGCACCAATCCTTCCACAGGATTTTCAGTCGTACGGAACTATTATCAATGGTTCCAAAACACCAGCTACACGCAGCCCGAATACATGCCTGAGTTCGAAGGTGGCTGGTTCTCTGCCTGGGGCGCCGACTCTTTCTACGATCAGTGCACGAGTGAGCTGAGTCCACAATTTGCGGATGTGTACTACAAGAACAATATTGGTCAGCGGGTCACCCTCCAAAACCTGTACATGCTGTACGGGGGTACAAACTGGGGCCATCTAGCTGCACCTGTGGTGTATACTTCATGTAAGTACTTCCGTGAGGTTCCGCAGGCAAAGCCATACTTACCTGCTGTAGACGACTACAGCGCTCCTCTTAGAGAGACTAGACAAATCAGAGACAAGCTCAGTCAGACGAAACTCGTTGGTCTGTTCACTCGAGTGTCTTCTGGCTTGCTGGGAGTCGAAATGGAAGGGAATGGCACCACTTACACATCGACCACCTCAGCATACACATGGGTGCTTCGGAACCCCAACACGACCGCCGGATTCTATGTTGTGCAGCAGGCTACCACATCCTCGCAGACAGACATCACGTTCTCCCTGAATGTGAATACTTCTGCGGGGGCGGTCACCTTACCCAATATCAATCTGCAAGGCAGGCAAAGCAAAGTGATCTCGACTGATTACCCACTCGGTCATAACACGCTCTTGTATGTGTCAACCGACATCGCGACATACGGCACTTTTGGGGACACTGATGTTGTCGTGCTCTATGCGCGCTCTGGACAGGAGGTGTCGTTTGCCTTCAAGAACACGACTAATCTGACCTTCGAGGAATATGGTGATTCGGTGAACATGACTAGCAGTTCAGGTAATCGTACTATTACCTCATACACTTACACTCAAGGCAGTGGTAGCAGCGTCGTGAAGTTCTCAAATGGCGCCATTTTCTATCTTCTGGAGACGGAGACGGCATTCCGATTCTGGGCACCACCCACCACAACAGACCCTTATGTGACAGCGGAACAGCAGATATTTGTGCTGGGCCCATACCTAGTCCGCAATGTGAGTATCTCTGGAAGCGTTGTGGATCTGGTTGGAGACAACGACAACGCCACGACCGTGGAAGTATTCGCTGGGTCTTCCGCAAAGACTGTCAAATGGAACGGTAAGGAGATCACCGTCAAGAATACAGACTATGGGAGCCTTGTGGGATCGATTGGTGGCGCCGATAGCAGCACCATTACGCTCCCCAGTTTGACCGGATGGAAAGTTCGCGACTCCTTGCCCGAGACCCAGTCTTCCTATGATGATTCCAAGTGGACGGTGTGCAACAAGACTACAACCCTGAGTCCTGTTGATCCACTCAGTTTGCCTGTCTTGTTTGCCTCCGACTACGGCTATTATACCGGCATCAAGATCTATCGCGGTCGGTTCGATGGTGCTAACGTGACTGGAGCGAACTTGACTGCGCAAGGAGGTCTGGCCTTTGGTTGGAATGTCTGGCTGAACGGGGATCTTGTGGCCTCGCTTCCAGGTGATGCCGACGAAACGTCGTCTACCGCAGTCATCAGCTTCACCAACCATACCTTGAAGCAGACCGATAATCTGCTGACAGTTGTGGTAAGTTAGCACGCAGACTACCCTAGCTTGAACTTACATAGTTAACCTCCTTACCCAGATCGACTACACCGGACATGACGAGACGTCTACCGGTGATGGCGTGGAGAACCCTCGAGGACTTCTCGGAGCAACACTCAATGGTGGTTCATTCACGAGCTGGAAGATCCAAGGAAACGCTGGAGGTGCCGCTGGTAAGGACTCCACTGGGCCCCTTCTCTCTGTCGCACTAGACTAAGAACATTGTTTCTCTTTGTGACAATAGGAGCATATGAGCTTGACCCTGTGAGAGCACCCATGAACGAAGGTGGCTTGCTCGCCGAGCGTCAAGGTTGGCATCTTCCAGGATACAAGGCGAAGTCAGCGGACGGCTGGACGAATGGGTCTCCGCTCGATGGACTCAACAAGTCAGGTAAGGATCAATCAATATCCTTGATGTCGCTGCCCGTTGTTATCCGCATCTAACCCAGAGTAATAGGAGTCGCATTTTACCTGACCACCTTCACCCTTGACCTCCCCAAGAACTACGACGTTCCTCTCGGTATCCAATTCACCTCACCGTCGACCGTCGACCCGGTGCGTGTCCAGCTCTTCATCAATGGATACCAATATGGCAAATATGTTCCTTATCTGGGGCCGCAAACAACGTTTCCCATCCCACCTGGTATTATCAACAACCGCGACAAGAATACCATTGGCCTCAGCCTGTGGGCGCAGACGGATGCGGGTGCCAAGTTGGAGAACATCGAGCTGATTAGCTATGGTGCGTATGAGAGTGGCTTCGATGCGGGCAATGGGACGGGATTCGATCTTAATGGAGCTAAATTGGGGTATCAGCCTGAGTGGACGGAGGCTCGCTCACAGTATACCTGATGCTGACCAGTCAGTAGTAGTCACAACTACTAAAAGTGGAGGGCAGTAGCAGTAGTATATATATCTCAACGGCTAGTAAGAAATAACATAGCAGTCGCTGGGATATACTCCAATGGTATACTGTAAAAGTAACACAGTATGATATTCATCGCCAGCCTGAAAATGTAAGTGGATACCCTAGGACATAATTTTGGAACTAAGTGTGTGCGCTGAGCCAGAAGAGCTGTGGGGGAAGGAGATGAGATGCTGTGGGATCCCCGCCTTCTGCCTCAGGCAAGAAGGAGAGACCCACCCGGAAAGAGCAACAAACATGCGCGTCGCGTCCGGCAACTTCTGTACGCAGGTGTATGGTATCAAGTATTGCCCATTATTTTTTTTATACGGGAAAGATGATGCACATAACAAAGTGATTAGGCTAGAGATGCTGGTATCCCACACTGACTACGGAGTATGCTCACTCACGTTTTCGCAGTTACACCTCATATAATAAAGATACAATTGGGGCCCTGCCCGATTCTATGTACGTTCTATATCTGCCAATCAACTACCACTCCCCACAAATCCTATGTACAGTCGACTCTAGTTCTCGGGGCGGGGGCCACCAAGCAGCTGGTACCGCACCTGGGCCAGAAGGTTGTTGACACCGTCCTTTCCAAGCTTGTAGTAAACCAGACCACCAAGGGCGATGGCGTATCCGAAGGCCTGGAGAGGAGTAACGGGGTCGCGGAAGATGACCATCGAGGCAACGACAAGGAGGATATCCTTGAGAACTCCGGACAGAGTAAGGACGAGGGCGGAGGTTTTGCCAATCTATCGATAATTAGCGAACTGATGCTGACGAACTCGGTTTCAGCAAGACATACCAGGAAGACGACGGCAACGTTGAGTCCGAAAGCCACGGCGGCGTTAAGGAAAAGAGTACCCATGCCGAGTTGGTAGATGTCCGACATGTGCAGCGAGGGGAGCTCGACAACCGCAGTGACGACGGCGTTCATAACGGCGCAAGCAGGTGCGAAGTAGTACAGGGAAACCAGGGGGTCCATCTTGAATTCGGCAGAGCTGAGCAGGCGCTGAACCATCACCAGACGGACGGACTCGAAGATGGTCGCAAAGAACTGGCCTAGACGAGTGTAAACAAAATGGGACAGTCGCAGCAAGTAGAAGAAGAGACCTACAGATGAATCCGATCATGGTGAATTTGATTTCACCAATGGAGGCAATGATAACACCGAGGACGATGAATGAGATGTTTCCGAGCAGGCTGAGCTTCACCGGCGCAATGCCCATAGCCCAGGTAGCAAGCAGTGTAGCCACAGAGTTGGTGGCCTGACCACATTAGCGGGAGTTTCGCACATGGAGTCAAATGTATTCACCTTGAGCATCTGGATAAAGGACACACTGAGGTAGAGATAGGCGAGGTTGCCGCAGATCAGACTGAGAGAGAAGAATGCGCCAATGGGGACGATGGCACGCCTATAATGACAATAGTCGATTAGACACAGCCATTGATTGTAATTTTCCACGACGATTTCACTAACATGTATACGCGAGAGGTCATGGGCACCTGGTGACGGGAGTCGAGCAAAGTAGTGAACCGCGCCATGAGGCGGGTCATGATGGTAGCGAAAACGAGATGCCATGTGGTCAGGAAGATGGCTGAAGCATGTTAGTCGCTTGCGACGGTTTATCTCGGCATGAAGATTGGAATTGACGTACGGAAATCTGTGAAAGAGAAGTAACGACGGTCAGTCTACTAATCGCATACTGCAACAGCGCAAAAGACGGGCTCAACTCACTGAATCCAGCGGTATGGAGGATCCACTTGTTGAAGATGATCACACCGGAACTGAGAGCAATCCAGGTACTAGAGAGACATTAATGCACATTCCGTAGGCAGCCACCACAGATATAGAGTCGTACGCGATGTAGAAAGCCGGGTGCATGGCGGCCTTGGAAGGCTCCGCGGACACAGGCGTGTTGACGGTCGGCAATTGGGATTTAGCAGCCATGATGAACGGTCGCACACGAGCGGACTGGTGAGGTCGTAAGAGAGATGGGGAGAACAAGGGAGGTCGACAGGAACCGGGCAGGAGAAACTCCGCAGAATGCTGCTGGAGAAGAAGAAGAAGAAGAAGAAGAAGAAGAAGAAAAGGAAGACCGACCCAAAAGAAGAGGACAGCAAGGAGAATAAAAAAAGCTTAGCGGCGGCAGGTGAAAAGCGCAATGGGACTCCGTTGGACGTTGTTTGTTGGTGGAGCCCCGCCGGTCGTCAGCCGCTAATTCTGGTTTGCTGCTCGGGTTCCTGATCGGCGTCCCTCTTTCACTCTTCAACCCTCTCTCTTTCTATCTCTCCAGCCACTTTCCCCAGCCCACGTTCATTCAATACTATACACTGTCCACTGTCCACCAGGTCTTCAGGGTCTCTTTCATCCTCGTCGATCATCTACCTCTCTTACGCATCCGCATTGTCATCTTGTCCTGCCACACCCGATCATGCCTATTGAGATGGCAGCTGACAAAAGACACTATACATAGTAACCCCAACCAGTCGAGCACCAGCCGATCGCCTCCAGGGCCACGCGGCCCTTTGGGTCCAGCCTCGTCCCTCCGCGTCATCGCCCCTCCAGGCGTCAAATCCTATCCCGATGGCGTTAATCCGTCCTCCGAGCTCTAAGACATGCCCACTATCTATCTCGAACACACTAACCACTTTGATCGCTTCAATCACTGGCACCATACCAATAAGGAAACTCACAATACCTGTTCGGAAAGTGGGTGGAGTCTGGTCGACCAAGGATATCTTCCGTGCACCCAGGGTTTTTCTGCCAGGGTCTTTGATATTTGCGGAGACTGTGCGCTTATCGATAGGAAATATATCCACAATATCTCTCCCCCCTAAATACACAACTGAAAAGGGGATTTTTTTTTTTTTTTTTTTTTTTTTCTCGTCGTAGTTCTTGGGCTGTGACACCTACCTTCACAACACGATCTGCTCTCCATGACGTACGGGAGATGTGAAACTGGGAAGCGATGTTCTCCGACGCCTTATTCGTCATCCCATTGACATCTGCCTTATCAAACATGGAACGCAGGAGAGGCAAAGTTGAAACATGATCCCGCTGTATTGCGGAGCATCGATACTCCGAACGGTTGATCGGCTTACGAAGCTTGTCACCCCAAAGCTACTATAGTAGTCAACATTATAGTTGACCGCAATAAAAAGGCTAAATAAGGGTCCTTGGGTTGCTCCAACGCTGGAAAATGTCCGACCGTTAGGCTACCTAATCTGCTATCTCTACCCGTTAGCCCACTTACCCATCTTTAGTCTCCCGGATGAAAATAAAACAAAGTACTACAAGCAGGCCAATGACGTTGAGCCAGGAGTGGGGCATTTGCTCCAATCGTTCATCTGTTATCGATTTATCAAGTCTGTCAAGCTCGCCGGAGTTGGATAAGCTGGTCTCCCATCACCAGTTCCGCTCTGCAATGCCGCAGCACCAAAGCGTCTGCAGGTAGCCCCATTTTGTCAGCTACGTATCTGCCTCTTGACTAGATGGATGTCGCCATTCGTCCACTAAGAACGCCATTCCCCACGGCCGACGGACTCCGGCGCAAGGGCCTGATAAGCGTTAGCTCCGACTCCGAGTTAGTCATGCGGCGTATTACACGCTCTTCTCCCCTCACGATGTTGATGCTTTTTTTTGTTGTCTCTGGTATACCCAGTAAAGCCTCGGCTGTGATACTTGAATTATCCTTGCCTTCAGCCTTTTCACCATGTTGACTAGTCTGGTGCTTGGGGGACTTCTGGGTCTAGCGACCGCTCAATTCCCTCCCGAACCCGAAGGCATCACCGTACTCAAGTCCAAGTTGCATGAAAATGTGACCATTTCCTTCAAAGAGGTGTGTACCGAGGACCTAGGATTGGATTTTATGCTCGTTCCCGCACTGATTGTCAGCCTGGAATCTGTGAAACCACGCCGGGTGTCCGATCTTATTCGGGCTATGTACACCTTCCCCCCGGCTTCCTTTCCGACGGGACAGGAGAAGCTCAGGATTATCCCATCAACACGTAAGTAGACTTCGAAGCATTGGAGGATGAGCCATCACTGAGCCTCAACCAGCTTCTTCTGGTTTTTCGAAGCCCGCAAAGATCCCAGCAATGCGCCTCTGGCCATTTGGCTCAATGGAGGTCCGGGTGGTTCATCGCTCATGGGGCTCCTTGAAGAATTAGGCCCTTGTTCCATTGCATCGGACTCCAAGACCACGGTTCTCAATCCTTACAGCTGGAACAATGAAGTCAATCTCCTATTCCTTGATCAGCCAACCCAAGTCGGCTTCTCATACGATGTACCGACCAATGGCACTTTGGTTCGGACTACCGACGGCGAAGAAGAAATTATTTCCGGTGATTTCTCCATTGATATTCCTCAGTCCAACCTCACCCACCAAGTTGGTACCTTTGCAAGCCAGAAGCTTGCACAGACAGCTAATGGGACTGCATTCGCGGCTCACGCTCTATGGCATTTCGCGCAAACCTGGTTCTTCGAGTTCCCACACTACAAGCCCAATGATGATCGCGTCAGTCTCTGGGCTGAAAGTTACGGAGGCCACTATGGTCCAGGTATCTTTCGGTTCTTCCAACAGCAGAATGACAAAATTGCAGAGGGGACTGCAGAAGACGGTGCACAGTATTTGCACCTTGACACACTCGGCATTGTGAACGGTTTGATGGATATGGTGATCCAAGAAGAGGCTTACATTACTTGGCCGTACAATAATGTAAGACTAGCCTCGCCCTCTTTGAATTTGCGTATTGTCTAATTCTATTAAGACCTACGGCCTTGAGATCTTCGATAAACCCCTCTACGAAGAACTCATGTATAACTGGACGCATCCAGGAGGCTTCCGCGATCAGGCCCTCGCCTGCGAAGCGGCTTTGAAAGAACGCGACTCCGGCTTGTCTCATCCAGGGAAAAATGTGTCTGAAATTTGCGGAGGCCTTGCACTCGAATGGGGAGATGGTCCCATCACCTACTACCACACCTTCAATCGCGGGTGGTACGACATTGCCCATCCTAAGAACGACCCATTTCCTGCCAAGCACATGCTCGGGTATTTGACGCAGGAGTCCGTCCTGGCCGCTCTTGGGGTACCCGTCAACTTCACATCGTCTTCGAGCGCGGTGGCTACACAGTTCATAAATACTTTTGACATCGTCCACGGCGGCTTCCTGGATGCAATTGGTTACCTTCTCGACAGCGGGGTGAAAGTGCACATGATGTACGGTGATCGTGATTACGCCTGCAATTGGGTCGGGGGCGAAAAAGCCAGCCTTGCAGTCCCTTACTCGCGAATTACTGAATTTGCCGACACGGGATACTCCCCTCTTCTTACACCCGACGGGATCAGCGGTATGACCCGCCAGCTGGGCAACTACAGCTTCACTCGCGTCTTTCAAGCAGGCCACGAGGTCCCCTCCTACCAGCCTGTCGCAGCGTATGAGATCTTCATGCGGGCGACTTTCAACAAGGATATTCCGACTGGCCTCTTAGCTGCTGGTGATAATTTCCAGACAATTGGACCCAAGGACACGTGGCATATTAAGAATATTCCTCCTGTTATGCCAAAGCCGCAGTGCTATGTCCTGAGTCCCGGGACGTGTACTCCGGAGGTTTGGGAGACCGTTGTGAACGGATCTGCGACCGTAAAGGATTGGTATGTTGTCGATGGTAGCGCGGGTGTTGAGGACCAGGAGGGTTTCAGCATTCTGGGAGGAGACGAGCTGTAGTAGCTTAGAGGTCTACTGCATAACCTTGGTAGCACTTAAATTGAGATCTCAATCATGAGTGCGATATCGATATAGTCTGCTCTCTCATCTACAAACACGTGATAAATATCTAAGCAATGAAAACGGACCAATCAGCCGGGAAGGATCACGTGATAATTTATCAAGGTTGCGCGTTCGGTCCGGGCCCTGACCGTTGTCGTAAAATCCAAGGGTAAATCACTGCCCAAGAATATGGCCACCACCACCAATGAAGATCTGGGGTGTGCCGAATAAAGAGGTAGTGTGTTGATGTGCAGACACAGACTAGCCCATCGCCCAGCAGCTGGGGTTGTTTTTTTGCTGGTGAAGTCTACAAAATCTGAGATGGTTCACATCCCTGGGTCTTCAACTGAACGACTTGACTGAGAGTGAGAGGGGCTGCTCTTAGATAGGTTTATAGCATATTTCTACGACACACCAGTTCCTGCTACAAAGCGTCTCCCAATGTGCCGTTGTTCTGTCCAAAAGGCTAGTTTGCCTTAAGCCGGCAGCCTAGTTGTAGATTATGCACACCAAACTAATGTATTACCATGGTATATGAAATAGCTTCGAAACCAATCTTATTCAACTCAAAAAACCCCCTTTGCCAAATGCCACAAGATATTAAATATAACATATAATCAAATCAAGGAAGCTTCATGCATATCCATCACGCAGCCCGTTCTATGCCGAGTAGGTCGTATCCCTCGTAAAAATCGTTGCCAACACTATCACGCGCGTGTGGACATACCCCTCATAGCTATATCGTGTCGTGTCAGTTTAAGGCTAAGCAGCTCACCATTCGTGACATGTCACCTACTCACAGTACTGAGTAGAACCGTAGTCGATGCTATCCGGGCCCTGCTGGGAAAAGGCCACCTTCTGGGGCCTAGTCTTGCTCTGAGCTAGGGTGGTCGCGTCGCTGAGAACAGATGCGGAGTCTTCGACGTGATCCTCCGTGGGTTTGACGTATCCATCAGACTTGGCATTGCTAGTCTGTCTGGCTTTGAAGGATCGGTAGAGGCCATTCAATGGAGTGAGAGGCATGGTGGTGAGGATGTAGTTGATTGTTGCAAGGATGTGAAAATGGTGGAATGATTGATTTGAGAGAAACCGAGTGCTTGATTGGAACTGCTCTTGATTGTTCTTGTCTATTTAATTCTACATGAACTTGCTGGGGAAGGCTTTATATACTTGATGCAAGCAAGCTGAGGCATATACTTGGCGAACTAGTTAGGGTCGGCACTCGGAGCTCGGCGCACGAGCCATCGGACCGCAAGCCACTGTCTCTCATCTCGCAGCAAAGGAACGAGGCTATACTAACAACGGCTAAACAACAATGGCTAATAAGGCTGCCTGTCCAGTTATCTCTCTTCTTTATCTGCCCCCCGCTCCCTCGTCGAGTTCTTTTTCTTTCTGTTGGGTGTTCGGAGTCGGACCTCAACTACGGACCTCATTCACATTTGACTCACAGGCATCTGGCTGCGCATCGCCATGTCTGCTCCACGCCGTAATGGACAGTTATCATCCTGTGAGCCTTGCAGGAAGTCTAAGCTCCGATGCGACCATTCAGCCCCAACATGTAATCGATGCGTCCGTCGGGGTAAATCGGACCTCTGTGTTTACCACCCAGCTCCGCTCACTAAGTCGCGTGAATTATCACGACCACTCAAGGCTACCAAGATAGCAACCAAGGAACAAACGCTGATGCCTGCAAAATCACTGACATGGGATAGTCTGGGCGCTTTATCCCCGGTGACTGTGTTAGGGTCAGCGGCATTTCCCAATTCGTCGAAGCTTCCATTCTCAGGATCGGGGTTCCTGGGCCCGACCAGTTACTCTGGTGCTTTCAGCAATAGTAAGCTGGATGTCGTGGACTTTTCTTCATCCACCAAATCCACCCCTATCGACCCTCAGCAGGTGGCACGGGGTGCCCAGGTCCTCTTTCTGTTAGAGCACCTACCGTTGTATACCGAGATTTCAGAGAAGCGCTTTGCTGTTTCGACGGGATGGGTTTTCGGTATCCAAATGATGAATCAGTTGTTCAAGGTCCTAGGAGAGGTTTACCGCAATGCAATCCAGGGCTCGGGAAACAGGTATGCGCGCCTTCTGGATCTCTCCAGGGCCTTTTTCAAGAATACATTAACTCCTATCGTGACCCATGACTCGATGTCGTTGGCCGAATACTTCTCGTTGGCATCGCCGCGCTGGGAGATGTTATCTTTACTTTTCGCCTTTGTTGGTACGGCAACATACCAAATACCACCGCATGGTCTGGGACTGGAGCATCAGGACGAAATAACAAGCAAAGAAGGGTTGCGACAAATATGCATGCAGGCAAGCCAGACATGTCTGCAGTTTTGCAATCATTTAGGGACCCTCAGTGATCCTTTGTCGTGGGCTATGCTCCAGCATGCAATTCATCTATCGCATATGCATGGCAGTAGCGGTATGTCATTGACAGTATATCATGGTTCATATAGCAGCTGAGAAAAGCCTAGATCACAGAACATGGCAAATGCTCGGAGAGATCACGACCACAGTCTTCGCACTCGGACTGCACCAACCCGATACCGATACCACAGCTCCGTTCTTTTTGAAGGAGATACGGAAAAGAACGATGGTTGGGGCATATGCGCTTGACAAAGAGCTTGCAACATTTCTAGGCAGGCCACCACGAATATGTTGGCGTTATTGCAATATCCAATACCCATTGGACATGAGCCTCGAGGAAATTGTTGCCGAACCCGCTATAAGAGACGCAGCTATTGCACGCTTAGATCCCGAAGGCTGGAATATCGACGGCCGCATCGACAAGGGAGCCAACGCTCGAGCCGGACTGGCTGCTAGTATCGATAAAGAGAACGCGTTGGAAATATCACTCAGTAATAGGCTAGACGGATTAGAGGAAAAGGTTCAGTGAGTGGCATGAGATCAAAGCTACGATCGGATTAGCATTAACTAGTAGCTGCTGAATAGAAATGCTTGCAAAAAGTCAGACGAACTACGACGCAGCCTACCTGCATGCCTACAGTGGACAGAGGATAAAACAGATCCGCAAGTTGCATCTTATCACGTGGAATTTCTTTACCATGAGTTCCTGCTATTGCAGACTCTCTACAAACGGGTTGGAAAGGGTATTGATGCTTTCGCCAACAAGGCTTTGGAAATCATTAGCACCCTACTGCATATGGTATCATTGGAGACGCGCTCAGGCCGAGTCCACCCAAGCGTCATCTTAGATGTGAGTTTCGGACTTTAATAACTGTACCTTTGCTCCCACTTCTCACCAACCCAGCTCTGCTACATCGGCCTTCCTGCCGCCGGTACGCTTTGCACCGAACTTCTGCGACGATCACAGCCCCAAAATAGCGTAGCTACCGCATTGCCACAAACACCGTTTCCCCGTTCCGACATTATACAGAAGTTGAGCGTTTTTGTCGCGCAGTTGAAAACCTTCTCTCGCCAGCAAGAGGGTGATTACGAGATCTGCATTAAGGGGCAGAGGATCATCTCTCAGGCGCTAGATCGGGTGCTCTCACCAGCACCGGTAGGCATGGTAGCTTCTAGTGACATCTCTTTGGATACTGAGGCACCAGGTGGGGATATCGGAGATAATGATTTCATGGCGTTCTTAGAGACGTTTGACTGGGAGCAAGAGATGAGGTTGACTTTCGGATGTTGAATAGACCAATTCTGATTCTAGCCATATCAGTCAAGTACTTGCAGTTGTTTGACCTGACCCTCACCGCATACGTGGCTGCATGTACCTTATCTGGATCTTGAATCAATGGTGATTGAGCCGGCGGAGCACATGTCTGCGACGGGATTACGTGTGTTCATTCGCTGTCATGATTTGACGTACCACAATATTTGCCAACTAAGGGGTGGAATGCATGCTATATTCTGGATTTTCTGCATACCTGGTTGTGACTGGTGATATAGTAATCACGTTCGTTAACGAGCTCGAATCAGTAAATGAGCGGAACAATCGGCGGAGTTCAATGATGATGGAAGGTTTAGATTAGATAGCGCAGTCCCATCCACCCAAACCAGTAAATAATTCCGAGCAAGTGTTTAGAATCCCCACAGTTTTGCGCGTCCCCTGCCCTAATAAAATAGGTTGAAACCGATAGCCTTCTTTTACCCACTATTTACCAGGCTCTTGGCCGATATCTTCACGGGTACTGGCGGACGGACATCGGAGACGTCTGGGCCACCAATTCCGACGCCGACAATTAAGGTCATGAACGCACGGTCGATTACTATAATTTGTGCGGATCATAATAACGGAAGAGTGACCAGATACCATCATGCATGGCGTGTGCTATTTACTCCCGAGCACGTACGTTGTTTTGACACACCATGGCTTCAAAAGTCCGAGGGATCTGCATGCCTTGCAACTCGTTAATTAGGCTCACCTGCAGCTATAAGAACCTTCTCTCCTCCGGCCTTCAAAAGAGATGAAGACAGTATTCTGCTTCACATCGAATACAATCCCTTGTTTTCTTCAGTGTCTGCGAACATGAGAATCAACGAGAGGTCCACTCGTGGCCTCAGTGTCCTTTCCCTACTGGCCCCGGTTAGCGCCACTCTCTATGACCAGACCATCCAGCTCGCCCAAGGTAAGGTGCAAGGTGCTGCTGCATTCAACGAAAGCAGTGCCCCGTCCTACATCTCCAACTGGAAAGACATCGCCGTTTGGAAGGGCATCCCATATGCTGCGACAACCGGTGGACAAAACCGCTGGAAGCCACCACAGAGTGCCTCATCCTGGAACGGCACCCTGAAAGCCACTTCATTTGGGCCCAGCTGTCCTAGCTCTTCAGCTGGCGATGGAGTGAGCGAGGACTGCCTGTCGATCAATATCTGGAGTCCCGCCACCTCCACCAATGCCAAGCTGCCGGTCATGCTGTGGTCCTATGCGGCGGGAGGTGAATCCAGCCAGAGTACCTACGACGGTGCAGGCATGGCAGCCAAGGATGTTATCTTCGTCAGCTACAACTACCGCACAGGCCCTCTCGGCTGGCTGACACTGCATGAGTTGGCCGAGGAGACTGGTGCGACGGGCAACTACGGTCTCCTCGATCAGATCGAAGCTCTGAAATGGGTATATGAAAACATCGCCGCTTTTGGCGGAGACCCCGAGTCCATCACTGTGGCTGGTCAGTCCTTCGGCTCTGGCGCTGTCTACCACATGGTCAACAGCCCTAGGACTAAAGGTATGATCAAGGGTGCGATCGCAGAGAGTGGCCTCAAGGACCCATACGATCCAGACATGTGGGGATACGGAAGTGACTACCGGAACATGACCTGGGCGTATGCCTTCAGCAAGACCTACGCTGAGTCGCTCAATGCGACGAGCGTCGCTGACTTGCGCTCTATGGACCTCGAAACAGTCCTTAGCGGTACTGGTGCTTCCGATTTCACCGGCTTCGATCCAGTGCTCAACTACCATGCCATACCCAACAAATACATCGTCAGCCTGGACGAGGGTGCACCCAATGACGTGCCCATCCTGGTCGGAAACAACAAAGACGAGGACGGAATTGACCTGTCTACAACCTACACAATCGCCGAGTACAAGTCAGAGATCAACTCCACCTACGGACCCTACGCCGCCGAGCTACTGGCGTTACATCCAGCTGACAACACAACCCAAGCCACAGCCGCATACAATTCGATCCTACGTGCTGGCTACTGCACCTCCACCTGGTCATGGGCCAAGCGCTGGAACCAGTCCTCCACTGAGCCCGTTTACTACTACCTCTGGACCTACTCGCCCCCTGGCTCGGACGGAGCCACCCACGGCTCGGAGGTGTCCTACGCGTTGAACAACCTCTACGCCCAGACAACCACCTCATATACGGACACTGACTATGAGGTGGCCAATGTCATGTCCTCGTACTGGGCCAATTTTGTCAAGACGCAGAATCCGAACAAGGGCGGCTCTTACAACAACGGTACCTTGCCGTACTGGGGTCCTAACGTGCCGACTGAGCAGAACACGTTCGAGCTTGGTAGCCTCTGGAAGAAAATTGCTTTCGCAACAGCCAAGGAGATCCAGTTGTACTTGGAGTACTTCAAGTATGCTACGCCCAGTCCATACTAAATATGATGGGTGTTCCTGGTTGCTGTATGTATATTCTGTCCCGTTCGAGGTTGATATTCTCTACTGTTAGCTAGCTTTGCCTGAAACATTGTACATCATACGTCGTTGAGCACCATCAGATACACTGGATGATCCTTTCGCTCCGCAGTGATAGGATATCTACTCCCGCGTACCCGCTCCTCAAGACAATGCATGATGCACCGGGGGACACTAGCACCGTAGAGGAAACAGGTCCGGTTCCAGGCGATGGTCTGTGCGTATAATCAAGCTGGCAGGATTAATCAGGATTCGGAAGTTGAACGAACCTATGTGGAATGGCACGACAACTCACAGAATTTGTGGGGTAACATTACGTAGGGCCGTCGGGGATCGGAGGGAGAAAGACATGGCCACCTCCGACTGAACCCTCAAATAGGATCTCCCCAGGCACAGGTGCTCACCCCACAGGACCGGGACAGAACAGCCTGTCCCCATCCAAAACTTAGATCCCTGAGATTTTTAAGTTGTCGTCTCGATCCAAAATACAAAGTGGACATTGTCTGATGGATAACAAGAAAGCAAAAAGAACAGCGAATGAGGAATGAATGTCCGATGTCGAGGCAATGTTCGTTCCTGTATCAGGTTATTAAAATGTTTTGCTTGGATAGAGAGACTATCTGGTGCCTAGAACACAAGAACCACAAAGCTTGAGTTGAATTTGCGCAGTGTCGCACCCATATCTATAAGACTTTCTCAGTACCACAAAGCCTTATTCCAGAAGAGGCTCTTGTCGTTGGCAAGATCATCAAAAGTGATGGACATAGTTGTATTGAAGTTGATGGTGTTCGTCGCATTTCCATTTTTCGGCCAGTAGATCTTGTCGTTGGGCCAGAGGGTGTTGGGGTTGCCGGTTAGGACGAAGGAGAGGAGGTACTTTTGCATGGTGCGCTGCAAAAGAAAGTCAGTCATTAGAAATAAGATAGCGATCAACTGAAGAAAGTACCTACCGCAACCGTGACATTGACTGACGATGAGGAAGAAGAAGTCAACCCATTAGCCGGCACAGTACTATAAGTACTATACCAGTACTAAGTCTGGTCCGTACCATGTGTAGCTTCCCCAAGATTGACAATAGCATTCCACGTCTCATTATGCAGCGCCTGAGTCAGAGCCAAGTTCTTGCCGGTCATGTCGAGGCCCTGACAGATGTCGGACAGACGGTAACCTGCATTCGCGTAATGCGAGGCAGGGTAGAGTTTGAGGATCTCTTCAACCACATCGTCCGTGATTGCGCGGAAGTACATTTGCAGCTCGGCAGCAATATCTGCTGCGCTGGTGACAGAGCTGGAGCTCTGGCTTTTATCGTGGCGCTCATGGGAGATCACAAGAGGTCCGCTGGAATTGAAGTTCTTCTGGTACAATTGTGCTTCGTCTTAGAACTGTCAGCTTCGTTGTCGTGAAGTAAGTACTGAGGATGGGAGAATTACAAGTATCGGCAACTATGTCTCCATCTGCCCACGGCTGGAGCTGGTAGCTGTAGTTGCTGGCCACTTCGCTGCCAATGGTCATCAGAGTTGTGTAATTCACGGAGCGCATGCAGGTGATATCTCCCCCTGGGCAGCCTACTGCAGTTGATACGTTCTGCCAGTAAGCCTATTTGTAATGGTAAGCTAGCCGAAGTGATAAGAAGGATTGTCGTCCTGACCTCTGCTTGGTGGTGACCGGCTCCAGGCACATATCCAGGGACATGATGTATGCCCCCTTAAAGAGCTAGGGCGCACGGCCACTGAATCGTTGTGGCGTCTGTCAGCGACCATGGAAACCCCTTTGCGGGAAGCTACTTACCGTCAACTGCAACATCACCTGAGAAGCACCAGCAGAAAAACCAGAGAGGGTGACAGCGTCCGGATTACCGCCAAATGCGCCAATATACTTCTGCACCCATTCCAGGGCTTGAGTGACATCCCAGACGGCAGCATTCGCGGCACCTCCCTCGTGCTGAAAGGTAGGACCATTGGCCAGGCCCGTAACTCCCAAACGATAATTGGCAGCGACGAAGATGAATTCCTTGGACAGATCAAAGAGACCTTCAGGGGTGCTTTGAATCTTGCTGCCACCGGTAAATCCTCCTCCGTGAATGTACACCAGCACTGGTAGTTTCTTTCCAGTGGCAGCGGAACGGATGTTCTGGTAGCGGTAGAACCAAAGGCTGTCGTTTCACGCAGCAGCTACTACTGTGCAATAGTCCAACGCCACAGAGGGCATAGTGAACGAAGCGGTCGTGGTGGTGCTGGTAGGCACCCTGGCAGGGGAACTAATGCCCAGCCGAGATGCATAATGCGAGGACAGTGATAACCATACTAGATGCACAACGATTCGTAGAAGAAAGAAATGCAGTAAGTTGGAAGAGTGTCTCTGGTGCTTGAGACATGTTATATACCTGTAGCAACCTCCTCTACCCCTGCGTCGGTCGATCTCTATCATGAAAAGGTATGGTCCAGCCAAGACAGAATGCGTCGTCTCCTGGCGCTCTTCTCCCCTTTCAAACTATCAGATCAACAAAGGGTATTACGAACATTTGCCTACTTTAATGAACAGATTAGTGGACTTTTACGGTGAGTGAGGTTACGGGAATCGGAAGACCATGGTACTTCATTATAACTGAAGGTCGGATCTCGGACACTATCAACCTAATTGTTACAGTAAGGGCCAGGGATAAGGTGGTGGGTTTGGATCCACACCCTTGGGGTTCAGCCGTTACAAGATAGCTATAGCTAATATTTTCATAGATGCCAATTCAGTCGAAGCACAGATAGACTTGGACCACTCTGCAGCGTCGGTCATCCGACACGGAGAGAAAGTTGCAGGCGCCATAGACCGGGAAAGATATATTCCGTCTACCTGAGCAGACGGAGCGATATGTCCTATCAGATAACAGGATAAAACCGGAGTTTGCTGAACCTGCCTTAGTTTCCTTTACCAAGTACCAAGACACGGGTCGACACCTTGTAATACACATCTATTCTCTATTTGAATCAGGCAACAATAAATTGTGGATGGTGATACCTATTGGACAGTGAAAAGTGGAGTCCGGGGATCGGGATGGTAAGTCTTCGCTTGGCACCGACCCTGGCGCGTAAGCTGCCATTGCATCTGGCACCACTTGAGTCTAGAGAATATGTCTCAATATTCCCTTGGTTTGCACGCGTGGTACTACTTTCAAGCTGCTTACTTAGGGACTCATGCCCCTCCATGTTACTATTGCGTAGACTATCAACAGGCAAAGTCGAACGGTGGCGTGAATCTATTGGAAACAGATCTCCTCTCCCATCAGAAATACCACAAAACCAAAACTATTATACGAGAAACATCATGCGACATGACCGTTATTGTACGTGGACCCCCAGGCAGAATAGCAGAACACACGGCGCATCAGACGATTGACCATTCTATTCGCTATGCTCTGCAGTGTTGGGAATTCGAACTTAGTCTGGGCGGACTAATATAGGCGGAATAGCTGGCCGCTCAGCGAAGGGCTATGGCTGCTGTTGTCGTTGGAGGAATTACCTGCAAGGATGCCGGACAAAGGATTTAGTATGGATTAGGTAGCATAAAGAGACCAGGGTCTGATGCATATCATTCCCAGATTCGGCCACCTAAAATGTGGATAAGTGAGTGGAAATGCGTTTGAATGGTTTTGTAGTCGAGACTAACTCTAACTCACGGGTAATCGGACCTCTCGGTTAGAAAGGGCAGACTTATGCCAAGTCTGAGTATCTTAGCTTTACTTTGTTTAAATTAGTGATGACGAGGTCCTTCGTAGGACTCTCACTTCCCCCGCAGAGGGGGAACGGACCCTGCTGTATTGGCCTCAGACGCCGCGTGAGAAGTGAGGCCTCTTCGTGCTCGAATACATAAATAGTCCTCTCCGCATTGCACTAACCCAACGCAAATAAACCTGCATTCCAGTACAATTTCTCCCTTTGGTGAAAAATTGAAAAATGGTGACCTTTTTCGCTTCGTTGGTCTGGGCAGGGCTCACTACTCTAGCTCTTGGAGAGTTGTACCCCCCATACTATGCAGACTTATCGTGGCAACCGGCGAGATCGCTATCCAACTGGTCAAATTTAACAGTGGAGACACGAACGGGAACCTTTATCGGCATGTTGAATGATACATACCCGGATGTCCGCCAATTTCTTCGGATTCCCTATGCACAGGTACGCACCAAGCTAGCCATCAAGGATCGGAGAGATTCGAGGCTAATATAATCACTTTATATTACTAGCCGCCTGTCGGGGATCTCAGATGGCTTCCGCCTCAGAAGTTGGCCAACTCGTCGAAGAGAATCGACTCGACTCGCTTTGGACCTGGTGAGTGACTTGTGTTGTGAGGGTGACCGAGGCGAGCAGCCTTCTGATGACCTCGTATCTAGCCTGTCCGCAGTATGTTGATTCCGGAAGCGACATGTGGGCAGAGTACGCGCCTACAAGCCTTCTGCTGAGTATTGGGGAGGCACCCAATCAGGGATCGACTGCTTGGTCCTCCTCAGAGGACTGTCTGTCACTAGCTGTGTGGACCCCAGCGTTTGCCAACAAGACATCAAATCTGCCTGTAGCTCTTTTTGTCACAGGTGGTGGCGGTGTCACTGGCGGAATTGAGGTTCCATCCCAGCTACCATCAAACTGGGTATCGAACTCCCAGGAACATATTGTCGTAACGATCAATTATCGGGTCAACATCTTCGGCAGTAAGATCATGTTGAACCACCCTCGCGCAAATGACTCGGGCTAATTGATTAACTATCACTCGATGTAGATCCTAAATCGAAAGCTCTGACTGAGACATCTCTGACTTTGTTGGATGTGCGGGCCGCAGTAGAATGGGTAGCCGAGAACATTCGGGCATTTGGTGGAGACCCAGACAATATCATGGTACGAGTTTCCACCCTACGAAGATCATATCATCCTAACCAAATGTTAAACCAGCTATGGGGACAATCCCAGGGAGCGGCACTCACTCACCTGTATACACTTGCCTTCCCAGATGACCCTCGCGTGGCGAGATTCGGGGTCATCTCTCAGCCGCCGTCGGTGACCATCAATCTCACCGAGACAGCGGATGTATACGAAGACTTCCACATTGTCGCGAAAGGCCTCGGATGCAACTATGGAGATGACGCAGAGGCAGAGCTGGAATGTATGCGTCAAGTGTCATGGGTACAGATTGAAGAGTATATCAACCGTTACAACGGCACCCAGTCCATCGCCTTCTCTAACTATATCCGTTCGTCCACCACAACCTCATGATTGTGTATTTTGCATATGAACATTACTGACTGATTGCGTGGATTAGCCGATGAAAAGTACATCTTCTCCAACGAGTCGGCGCGTTATGCTGCGGGTCGAGTCGCACGAGGCCCAGCCATCCGCTCGGACGCCTCACGAGAACAACCCAGCACAACGGAGTCCACGACGATGGAAGTAGAAGGCGAATGGATCTGCACTGCATACCGGGACTCTATCCGTCGGTCCTCCTTAGGACTCGAGACGTACCGCTATGAATGGGCTGGCAATTTCTCCAATATTAGCCCAGTCCCTTACCTTGGTGCATTTCATTGGTCGGATCTGTTGATGATATTCGGCACATATATGACTGATGCAGGAAATATATCAGCTCTGGAAGTTGCGACGTCGAGGACAATGCAGGATCACATATTGGCGTTCCTCAAGGATCCCTCCACGGTCAGCTCCACTGTGGGTTGGCCCGCGTTTAACGCTTCTGCTCCATCGGGCGGCCTGATCCTCGAGTTCGGCAATGGCACCACTGTTAAAAATATCACGGGTGATCTCCTCGAGGCTGGGTGCTGGGACTCTTCAGTGCCGTTCCTAATCTATGAGCCTAGAAAATAAGCTCGGGTGGATTGACAGCATAGTCTCGTGTGGACGAGGCGCATATACTAGTCTGTTGGTGGGCTGCTATCGTCGGTGGGGCTTCTGTGAGACTTCAGATATACCTTGATTGAGCCTAACTCGTGGCCAGCTTGAGACTATGTGAATGATTAGATGACTTCAGTGAAATGACAGATATGCCTAGAAAGGAACTAGGCCATAGTGATGCAATCTATTGGGGCAGCCTAAGAGCTAAGGGGGCTTGGGTGTAGCAGACCTACTCTATTTAGAGTGATACTATATAAATATATTTATCCGCCTAAAGACTCATCTAGGAGAAGAGCGTATTTTGATGTCCATTCTTTAATGCCCAGAATAGCGGTGTCCTCCTGTTCCGGTCTTTGGAATTAACATCCACCTTCCCAGTCTCTCACAAAGCTCTCACCCCAGCTTCAAGCCCATTCCCTGCCGCCAAAGACAGTACAGTCCGGCCCTCTTCGTTATCTCTTGCTTCCAAGTCTGCATGTCCGGTAGCAATCAACACCTTCATGATTCCTTGATGTTTGTCAAAAGCAGCCCAGGAAAGCGGCGTTCGTCCGTGGTATTTCTCTATGGTGTTGACATCCGCCTTGCCGGTTTCAAGCAGCGATTTGACAATCTCTAGGTGGCCCATTCCACACACCCACGAAAGGGCTGTGCGGTCTGATGTTTCATCGCGGATGTTTAGGACAGCTTGGCCAGTGGCTAGAAGCAGCTTGACTACCGGTTTCATTCGCTCGGGAGAATTAAAGAGCGCCCAGGTCAGTGGCGGCCGATGTTGGTAATCGACGGAGATGATGTCGACTTTGTTGGTTGCAAGAAGGAGCTGAACAATTTCTGCATGCCCAGCTCCTGCAGTCGATGATAGAGGCGTTCGACCATGATGTGAGTCTCTGGCATCAACGTCCACTTTACCAGTAGTAAGCAATAATTTCACGACTGGCACAAACCCAGCCTCTGCAGCCCACGATAATGGTGTCCGACCATCTTTTGGGCTGTCTAAAGCCAGGTTAGCCAGCATATTTTGCCCAATCCCAATTGCACTTCTCGGCCCTTCATCCATTGGCTGGACATGGAATATGTTCTCAGCTGAACCAGCTATACTCATTGCAGCCTTCAAATTGGGCGATGTGACAAGCAAAGATCCATGTTTTGCTTCTGGGGACGACGAAACAATCGGAATCGTCTCCGTCACGTCATCCTCCAGCAGAACAGGAAGCCCCGTCTTTTGGGAAACGCCCACGTAAATGACATTGTCCAGAATAACCAGCCATGGCCCATTTTCTTCGTCAGCGAGCCATTCCAATACCAGTTCTACGACATCGACGGCTGGGTCATCCTTTCCGGGTAGATCAAGACTGTTAGCTATATCTTGATAAGACCTTCTGTATCGGGAGATGCTGCTTGCGTTGACCCAGAATACGGATAGCCAGGGCACATGTTGGGGGCTTCGGTAAGCATTTTCAAGGGCAATGTGTGATTTACTGACTCTGTTAGTGACAATTATCATCGTTAGTATCACAAATAATTTTCTCACCCTGTGTCATTATCTCCAACGAGAGCTATGCTGAGAAAACGTTCAAATGCGGCTGCATCGTATCGTCTACCAAGCTCACTCATTATGAATTTACGACCAGTGAAGTTTCTATCTCTTTGAAATGGAACCAAGAAGAGCTTTCTGGGAGCTACAACAATCAGTAAACAGAACATATACTTCAAAACGAACAAAGATTGACCACGGACCATTTCTCCTCATAGGTCATGTTCTCTCCACATGCCCTGGTGGTATAACCGACAACAACTCCTTCGCATAAGCAGCCGCCACCCCGGCAGCATAAGGCTGCCATTCCTTGTTCTTATGCGAGTCGGCATAATCACAAATGCCTCGGATCACCAGGCATGGGAAATTATTCACCAGCCCGGCAGCCTCCATCTCGAAGCACAACACCCTACCTAACTCTGCTGCGAGTCGGTCTCGTTCATGCGCATCCTTGAGTACTTGATTCCCTGACGCAATTGTTCCATAATGCACTTTGGTATCATGGCCTTCACGTTCGTCTCGTTGAGTCGATTGTTCCTTATCGCATGCCTCACACGTCACTCCCCCAGCATGGTTTTATCCCGCCTCGAACAGGATATCCCTGTGTTTATCTCTATCGTGCGTGAAAACGGGCATATCCTTAAGCCCTTCCATATACTTAGTCATCGTTCCCCTCCCCAGAAAATGCCTGGCCCGTAGCAGGGCCACCGCATTCAACAGAATAACCGGGGACGCATTCAAAAACCCCGTGGTACAAACCCATTAGACGTGCTCTTCCCAAAGTCATACTGCACCACGCCCCCACATTGATTATCTGGTCGACCAACAACCACATCTCCCAGCCGGATATCATGCTCAGGACTGGGAACACCCCCGCCGATTCCCCCCATGAGGCCGAATCTGATGGATGGAAACGCCGAGCGCATTTGGATTGCCACGGTCGCGGCGGAGCTGGTGCCTATCGGTCCATCTGGGAGGACAGGTAATCACAACGTTGTGCCGGGCAATATTTCCCAGAATAATTATGTTGGGATCGTTGATCTGCAGGCGTATGCTGGAGTGTTCGGTGTCTAACATTGCTTGTGCGGCTGCTAGTTCGATTGGCAGAGCGCAGATCCAGCCTACGGTGTAGTCTTCGCGACGAGGTTGGCGTTCTCTCATTGTCGTATTCCCGTTGCCTTTTCTCTTAATGATGGGGGAGGTTGTTGTTGGGGAGTTTTGCGCGATCTTACACATGTCTGACAGCCTTGTCATATGCCGCATTTGGTAACTAGCTACTCATCACTTAGTACTAGTACTTGAGTAACTCAGCCTCGCGGGGCTCGGCTGGGGCTTGTCCAATCATAATCCACTTCTGTTGCTTGGGTATTCTAACATTCACATACTTCCCATAGCAGTAGCACATTGCCTTGTACTCACACTTTTACTATATATTGCTTGATGGTAACTGTCAGGCTATGTACAATACATAATCGAGCACTTTGAAAATAATAAATTTTTTTCTTATCTCTCTAATGCTCCAGTAAACCCAATCTTGCAATAGAGCAGCACTCATACAACAACTCATAAGTATATCTAGACATAGGAATATGTAAAGTAAGCAGATATTCTTCAATAGTCTCTCTGCTCTTGATTTGGCATGACTATTCGTGTACTCTGACCATAAGAACTGATGTGTTGCTATTCTACGCTAGACTTATACATGTAATTCCACCGGCCTAAGCATTTCGTTAGAAATAAGCAGATAACTGAGTTGATCTTAGGCTCCTACAAAGCGGCTCATAATACCTCGGCTCGCCTTGGCTAAAAGCCAACTCCGAGCCTGCCTACTCGGGCCCACAAACCTTCATGTCATTAAGTAGGTTAATTGACTTGAATTTTCCCGCCCATCCTTCAATCCTCGAGCTTCTACCGAGTCGTTAAACGACTCGTTGACGGCTAAAAAAACAGTTGTAGATCAGAGTTCTAGAAATTGCTTTCGGCTGAATACAATCTACTTCAGAACAATGGCAGGCTACTCTCGGTCATGGTAAGCAACATCCCTGTGTTGGATCACCTTGAAGATACCTGAGGCATTTTGGACCCTGCGCAAGAAGCCCGCTGACTAAGATTTTGATGTTGCAATTAAATGACTATTGCGTTAGGTGGTGGCCTTATGGAACACCCCAAGTAGAATGATCAGGAAATAGTATGAACCTCTCAAAAAGCTGCTAGAGACATTATTCAGTGCGAACCATCCAAAACCTCAAATCAGAATCCCGAATAATGAGCCAGGGATGGTCATGAGGCTCATTGGCCATGTGCAGTGGAACGGGCCCTAGCCGCCCCAGACTTTAACTGACGCTAACAAACCAACCGAAATGAACCATAAGCAAACAGCAAATCATTATCACACCCAGCTGTTTTAGCGTCTTTGGACCCTGAAACTTGTCCTATCGAAGGCCTTTGGTGCAGTTCGAGCATTTTTCCGCTATTGTGCACCCTCCACTTCGTGTCAAGTCTAAGCCTCGTTGGGGGCATTCACCCCTCCTGGAAGGAGACCGTGGTGAACTAAACTCCATTCCGAACCACATGGTCAAACTCTCATGTCCACTTACAACCCACCCAAATCTGACAATCTTATGCTGGTTCTTATTAGAATAAAGCCGCCCGATGATTCCCAAGATTTCCCGCTGATCATCAATCACACTCGTTTACACAACCACCATGGTATTCGCTCATTACATAGCAGCGGCATTCACCGTCGCCGCGTTGGCCGGTACCCCCGCTGCAATCGATCTCGACATCACCGACGAACGTACGTTTCCTTCTCCCATCACTCATGCAAGCGAACCCCTCTGACGCCTCGCAGAATCCATCAAAGATGCTGCCGCCACAGCCGCCTTTAACGCCATGTCCTACTACACGGGCAATCAGACTGGCCAAATCCCCGGGTACATCAACCACACCTGGTGGGAAGGCGGCGTACTCTTCGACACCATGATCCGGTACTGGTATTTCACCAACGACGCCTCTAATAACGCCGCCGTCAGCCAGGGCATATATCACCAACGTGGCGCCGGGAATGACTACATGCCCAGCAACTGGTCTTCATACATGGGTAACGACGACCAGGTAGCCTGGGGCCTCGCCGCCATGACAGCGGCAGAGCTTAACTACCCGGAGGACGCTGGAATGCCGTCGTGGGTGGATCTAGCGGAGCGGGTATTCGATGTGCAATCCGCCCGTTGGGACAACAGCAGCTGCGAAGGTGGTCTCCGCTGGCAGATTTGGCCTTACCAAGTCGGATACACAATGAAGAACTCTATGAGCAATGGGGGTTTGTTCCAACTCGCGGCGCGGTTGGCTCGGTATACCAATAACCAGACCTATGTCGATTGGGCAGATACAATTTGGGACTGGAGTTCCCGGATTCTAGTCGATCAAGAAAGTTGGAATGTCGCTGATAGTACTAATGCGGAAAATGATTGTACGAACCTCGGTAACAATCAGTGGTCGTATAACTACGCGCTGTATCTGAGTGGCGCGGCATATATGTACAACTACGTAAGTGGTTATGCACGCTCTGGTATAGACAGAGGACTAACAAGGAATAGACAAACGGAGAGACCACGCAGTGGAAGACGGCCCTGGATGGGTTGTTGAACAGTACCTTACAAACATTCTTCCCCGCTAAATTCGGCGGTGAGATCATGTCTGAGGTGCTTTGTGAACCCGCGAACGTCTGTAACGACAACGAGATAACTTTCAAGGGTCTTCTGGCGGAGAGTCTCACCATAACGAGCATGCTTGCGCCATATACATCATCCGACATTCTGCCGCGCCTACAAGGCTCGGCTGTTGGCGCTGCGAAGCAATGCAGTGGCGGAAGTAGTAAAGCAACTTGTGGACAGCACTGGTACCAATCGAGCTGGGATGGCACGGAGGGCATTGAGGAGGAAATGAGCGCAACGAGCATCTTCACATCCAACCTGGTGGCGTATAAGCACCTGTCTCCGGCTACGAAGACTACGGCGACAAATGTGACCTCCTCAGCTGGTACGGATACTGGAAATGGAACGACTACTGCCAGCACGACAGCAGGAAGCAACAGTGTTGTCCCGACAAACGGTGCCAATTCTCTGCCTTGCAGACACTTTGGTGTTGCTGTTGCTATTGTGGCGGGCGCTTTTGCCATTGCTTAAGTGGTTAAGTCTAGCTTACATAGCTAGACTCGATTACTCGAATGCAGCGCAGTCAGAGCACTTTTACTGGACTTGATGGCTTGCATGGGTGGAAACCTTTCATATCTTCTTCATAATTTGTAAAAATACATTTATTGTCGCTTCTTGGCCAGTCCTCTGAAGCCGAGTAACGATTATTCTCACAAAGCGGAACAGAATTTGGATCATGATTGTTCGTCCAGCTTTACAGCCCCGAACGAAGGATCTAGCGTCCGTAGTAGGGTCCCCGCAAGAGCAGGATCCAGGCAGCATTCTAGGCAACATACCCCTATTTACTGATACCATTGGCTTGTCAATTGGCCTTTTTTGTTTCGTTCTCGCCCCTCCTACTTACTAAGAAGCACACTAGGATAAGTCTAATGCGACCGACGAATAAGAATTCATCCTCTCTACCCAACACGAGCCCGATCCACTCTCGGTCTTTGCAACAATCGCAAAACCCGCTTTAAGAAGCTTCTCAACCGCCCATCATCATCACTATCTCAGGGAACCAACACGCAGACACGACTGAAGACGGACACAATGAGAATCAATCAAAAACAACCAGAGATAACTCTATACCGCGGCTTCCCCGGCACGGGGATCTACACATGGTCACCCTTCGTCACGAAACTTGAAGTCCGGCTCCGGTTTAGAGGACTATCTTATCGCACTGAAAGTGGGTCTGTTCGCGCGGCGCCACGGGGAAAAGTGCCTTATGTTACTATTTGCGATGAAGACAAATCTGGGCCAGATCAGGCTCGGACAATGTCTGATTCGGATCTCATCATACAGGATCTCGTCAATGACGATATCCTCCCAGACCTAAATGGCGACTTGAGTGTTCAGGACAAGGTTCTTGACTCGGGGATTAGAGCGTTGTTGGAAGACAAACTGTACTTTTTGCAGGTATCAATACCGTCCACCCCGTCTGTACATCGTGTTTGATTGACGAGAAATAGGGTTATGAAAAATGGATTGACAATTACTATTCCATGCGGGAGCATATCCTAGCCTCACTGCCGTATCCTGTCCGGATAATCGTGGGACATCTCATCTACCGGAAACAGTATCAGACGTTGCATGGGCAAGGGACATTACGCTATTCGGCAGAAGAACGGAGCGCATTCAAGAAACAGATATGGGAGGATATTAACGCCTTGTTAGAGGATTCCAGGTTGCAGAGTGATCGCAAGGGACCGTATTGGGTGCTTGGGGGTCTGCATCCAACTGAGGCTGATGCTACGCTGTTTGGGTTCATTGTGGGGGCTTTGATCTGTACCGCGTAAGATTCCTGTTCGGGGGAGTAGTACGTCTTGGGTACTAATTATATGCAGGTGTCCTGAAACGCAGGCGATCGTGAGAGGATTACCAGTTCTGGTAGATTATGCGCAGAGGATTCATGATCGGTACTTTCCGGATTATGAGCTTTGGGCGGAGGAGTAGTAGTTCCAACCTTGTTCTTGTTTGGCATCCTTAATTGGGAGTTGTGTCAACACATGCCATATGTTGCTAAATGCGTTGGAGACAAGTGGGTTGGTCAGCCATAACAGGAAAACATGTGTGTGATCTAGATCATTCCGGAAACACCGATACGGTGAAAATAACCCGCGGAGTGCATTAGGTAGATAACCTGCTAGACGCCATAAACAGTAAGGTGCCATGAAAGGACTGCGAGCTTATAACCTATCTTAAGGTAATAATACTCCAAACGGATCACTACATCATCAACAATTACCACTTTCTAGACTCTTCCACAAGACATAGACCCAGAGCCAAGAGCCTCTAGATAAGCTCCAGATAAGCATTGCCTTGAAACAAGGCCATGCCGATCCAACCATCTTATCAACCAGACGCCGGAAGGGACCACTCCGCGGACCCGCCTCGGGCCGACGTCATCCTGAAGTCAACCCGATTCTTCGCCGAGCTCTAAGATGCCGGTCCTACTGTTCTCGGAACATTGTGTACCGGTCTAGAAATAGAGTAATCCAGAAAACTTGGCTATGACTGGTTGGGAGCAAACCCGCGGATGATTAACTAGCCTGGTTGTCAGATGTGGGTATGCTTCATGAGGGCTAAGCTGTAGACCGAAGGTATACGTAAGAGGAGGTGATTGTGTTACTTGTCTGTGCTATATAAAACCTATCGAGAAGGCTCATGATTCTCAATTGAACACCATTTTCTTGTTCAACGTTAGTTAGAAGATCATATTGCTAGTTGTCGAAATGAAGGAACCACAGGGCGCTCCCGCATCGGGCATCCACTTCCCGCAGGGTATACTACCCTCCTCATCACATGTTCTGCAGAGCCCTGGACTGACACTGCAGCGTAGGAGTATCGGTAAAAGTGACAGAAGAGGTTCAAAAGATCGCGGATATGTTCCGTGTGGATGGAGACACGCTTCGACGTATCACCGACCATTTTGTCAAGGAGATGGAGAAGGGTTTGTATACAGCCCTGACCACACATTGTAGTAAAGGCTCTGACATTATCTCTGCTTAGGACTGGAAAACTCCGATAGCGATATTGTACGCTTTGTTCACTCACCTACATATTCTGATAAACTGACACATGCCAGCCAATGAACGTAACCTGGGTTACCAAGTCCCCGACCGGTCACGAAACAGGCCAATACCTGACCGTGGATATGGGCGGAACCAATCTCCGCGTGTGCAACGTCACTCTAACAGAAGAGAAAGGAGGATACAAGATTGCACAAAGCAAATTCAAATTACCGGGTGGCTTGAAAACAGGTAATGCGCAAGAGCTATGGGCATACATTGCGGACCGTGTGGCAGACTTTCTGCGCGAGCGTGAATTGACTCCCCGCCCGGGCGAGAAACTACCACTTGCGTTTACTTTCTCGTACCCGGTGACGCAGGATAACATCCGACATGGAGTGTTGCAGCGTTGGACAAAGGGATGGGATGTATCTGGGGTAGAGGGTGAGGACGTTGTTGCACAGTTGGAAGAGGTGTTTCAGGAGAGGGTAAGCTCTTCTATACCATCTAGGTATTACAGCACTGACTTGCTCATCGACAGAACGTCCCTGTGCACATCGTGGCATTAGTGAATGACACAACAGGAACGCTCATCGCATCAGCATACAAAGACCCCGAGATCAAGATCGGTAGCATTTTCGGCACTGGGTGCAACTCAGCATACATGGAAAAGATCGGGCGCGTGCCGAAGATTGCAGAGCACCATCTCCCCGCCGACCAATACGTCGCAATCAATACCGAGTATGGCGCCTTTGACAACAGCCATCGGGTTCTTCCGCGATGCCAATTCGACCTCGAGATTGACCGTGCTTCTCCGCGACCGGGTCAACAGACATATGAAAAGATGGTGGCTGGGCTGTACGTGGGAGAGATAGTGAGGCTTATTATTGTTCATTTACATGAGAAAGCCGGCTACCTGGAGAACATGGACCTCGGTCGTCTGCGACATATTCACGCTATGGAATCGTCGTGTGTCTCGAGGATGGAAGAGGACGGGTCAGCGGAGGATAGCGCGATGGCGGAGACACGAAAATTCCTTAAAGAGGAATTTGGCATTGAGCCAACATGCGAAGAACTCCGTGTCTGTTGTCGTCTCGGGGAAATTGTTTGCACGCGTGCGGCCAGGTTGTATGCGTGCGGCATTGCGGCTATCTGTAAGAAGGAGGGCATTCGCCAAGGCCGTGTTGGTGTGGATGGGTCTACTTTTGAGAAGCTTTTCCGGTTCAAAGAGCGGGCAGCGGCTGCTTTACGAGAAATCCTCGAGTGGCCTGACGGCTCAGAGGACTTGATTACCTTTGTGCCTGCAGAGGATGGGTCGGGAATTGGTGCAGCTTTGATTGCAGCGTTGTCTGGGAGAGACTGAACTGCAGGAGGGGTTGACATGGTCTCACGAATAACGATATACGAAGCACTTCCATTCATCTGAAGACTGTTTATTCTTAGTCCTTTACTGTAATATTAAAGACATTGGTACCTCGATCCATAAAGCTATGTGAAGAACAGGTCATTGACAGGAAGATATCTGAAACGCGTCACCCATGACCTTTTCTTCCTCGGTGGAGTGAAGCACCTTGTACCCCACTGCAACACTTGACATTGGGTCCCTACCCGCATATCGTACCTTTTTATCCGTGTGGTTTGCCGTCTTAGCCAAAATAGCTTCAAACCTCGGCATAACATAGCCCCAAGCGCCACCATTAAGTGTTTCCTCCTGGCACCAAACAACATCTGTTGCGTTTGGGTAATTATCCAGATTCTGTCTAACTTTCTCCCACGGAAACGGATGGAGTTCTTCAATCCGCGTGATAGCTGTGTCTTTGAGGTTATGAGTTTCGCGATACTTGTAGAGCGCCGCATACACTTGGCCAGAACAGAAGATGACACGCTTGACGTCTTCCGCCTCATTGATAGTAATACCGTGCCGAGTTTCGGGGAGCAATGGTTGGAAGTAGGGAGCCCCTATGAACTCTGCAATATCCGAACGTGCAAGGGGGTGGCGAAGTAGGGACTTGGAAAAGAGTATGATGAGAGCTAGATTTGTTAGCAGGGGTATGAATTATCGGAAAAGGAGACATACGTTTTCTGAAGTCCCGGTGGATTTGCCGGCGCAGAACGTGGAAGTAGTTTGCAGGACTTGTCATGCACACAATCTGTATGTTAGCATCCTGATGCTGGCGCTGGAGTTGCTCTGGTGTTGGAAAATTCCTCGAATCTTCGTCGCCCAGTTGCAAAAATCGCTCCAAGCGGGCTGAAGTATGTTCCGGTCCTTGGCCGTCGTAGCCATGAGGCAACGAAAGAACCACACCAGAGCGCTGAAGCCACTTTTTCTCAGAAGATGCGATATAGTTATCGATGATGACTTGAGCGTTGTTAGCAAAGTCGCCGAACTGGGCTTCCCACATCACGAGAGCATTTGGATCTGCCAAAGAGTAGCCAAATTCGAAACCCATTGCTGCAGTCTCACTCAAGGACGAGTTGGTTATGGTGAATAAGCCCTGGCCTGGGCTGATGGTGCTTAAAGGTGTATATGTTCTGTTGGTTCGTTGGTCGTGGAGAACGGCATGACGCTGGGAAAAGGTACCTCGTTCGACATCCTGTCCGGCTACTCGAACCCCTGTACCCTCACGGAGAAGCGTACCGAATGCCAGAGCTTCGGCAGTAGCCCAGTCAATATCTTTGCCGGTCGTTAATGTTTGTTGCCGGCGAGAAAGAATCCGTTCTAGGTTCTTGTGTAGCTCGAAGCCTTGTGGGACCTCCGCTCCAAGGTTCTTAGACACGGCCTCGATGGATTCATAGTTGACTGCGGTCACCTTCGGTGGTAGTGTTTCCGTATTTGACTCTGTTGGCGTCTTCATACCCTTCCACGAATCGATTAGCCACTCTTTTGGATCAGGCTTCTGATCTTTCCTCCTGTCGAAACATTGCATAAGCTCTGCCCAGGCTTTATCTTTCATCATCCGGACTTCCTCTTTCATGACGACGCCTTTTGAGATCATGCTAGCCTCATACCCATCGAGAATATTTTGCTTCTCCGCGATGCGCTCATACATCGTTGGTTGGGTGAATGAGGCCTGGTCCATCTCGTTATGCCCATTACGACGGTAGCAAACGATGTCGACGAGGAAATCTTTTTTGAATGTTGCCCGGAAATCCGCAGCGAGTACACCAGCAAAAACCACTGCCTCAACATCGTCACCATTGACATGAATAACTGGTGCGTCCAAGACTTTCGCCACGTCCGTGCAGTATGGCGACGACCTCGCCTGCCAGGCATCGGTCGTGAACCCAACTTGATTGTTCACGATGAATCTCAACGTCCCACCAATCTCATACCCTTTCAAAGCAGCCAGTCCCAGCGTCTCATACACTGTTCCTTGGCCAGCAAAAGCCGCGTCCGTATGCACATTCAACATAATGGTCTTAGTAGTATTGCCATTCCTCCCATCTTGAATCGCCCTCGTCTTCCCCATAACGACGGGGTTCACGGACTCGACATGGGACGGCTGCGGCGCCATGTTCATATACACCTTCTTACCAGAAGCAGTTACCCTGTCACCACTTCCCCCATAGTGATACTTCACATCTCCGGGTATGCCCCAAGCTGAAGTCTCCTTGGAATCGAAATCCCGCAACATCGACGCGCCATCTTTTCCAACAATGTTATATAGCGCATTCATGCGCCCGCGATGACCCACGCCCATCTCAATATGCTCAACACCGTTTTCAGCCAATCGGTCCACGGCCGCCTCAAATGCAGGAATGTAGCTTTCGACTCCATCAAGCCCAAATCGCTTCTCATTCGGGAACTTCGTAGCGAGGAACTTCTCCCAAGCCGTAGCGCGTACCAAGCCATCCAAAATACGTTTCTTCTCGTCATCCGAGAAGACATGACGTTCTGGCCCCTCGATCCGCCTCCGGATCCATTCTACCTGCTCCTGGTCCGAA